ACAAATGACTTTAAAATGGTAAAAGCTGCTTCAAAAAAAAAAAAAGAAGCCTGCCTGCTGCATTGAATTTTAAATTTTTTGGCCTGAGAAACTATTAAATAATTTTTTGGGGCCTTATATTGATATTTTGTTTGCTGCAATAAAACAGCTGACCATAAAACTACATATTATGCTAAATATGGATAAGAATAATTTTCCTGTTAATATATTATGCATATCAATGCTTTTATGCATATTCCATTCAGAAGCATGTAAATATTGATTTTTAAAATATGAATGGAAAACTGTGTGTCAAGTCAAAAGACCCTCTTTACAAAATGAAAAACTTTTTGGACACCAAGAAAATTATGTATAATATTAGAAGTGTAGTATTGAACTTTCAACTTTTCAGCTTTAGGAATGTCATTTACCCTTGATCAGGAAAAATTCCATTAAAAAACAACTTCATTGTGCAATGTATAAAGAGACGTTGAATTAACTTATTTTAAAGTTTTGTTGTATTTTAGGTACCCTAACCTCAAGAGTGTGCGAGAGTTGGTATACAAACGAGGATACGGAAAGGTCGGAAACCAGCGTGTCCCCCTCACAGACAACGCCATTATTGAGAAACAATTAGGTATAATGGTCATTGCTTTAAAAAGTTGTTATAGTTTGTATATAAATACGTTATTAATACTCTTAGTTCACTTTGACATGTTTTATGCACATACATGTATAGTGAGATCTTGGTGGAATTTTTTTTTTCAGGAAAATATGGTATCATCTGTATGGAAGATTTGATCCATGAGATCTACACAGTTGGACCTAACTTCAAATATGCTGCCAATTTCTTGTGGCCATTCAAACTGAACACACCCAACGGCGGCTGGAGAAGGAAGTATAACCACTTTAATGACGGAGGAGACTTTGGTCTGCGTGAGGACGGTGTTAACCCCCTGTTACGCAGAATGGTGTAAATCATATCTTGTGATACAATAAAGACAAGAAAAATATTGTTTAAAGTATTTGTTTCTATATGAAAAGTTAGGATTGAGGCTGATAGAAATTGAAAAGAGAGTTGCTTATTTGAGAAGAAAGCACACTATCCTGGGTGCTCAAAGTGCTCTTTTTCCCAATGAAACACAGTTAACAGGTATAATGTAGTACTGTATGCAGGGTTATTTTTGCCCCGTGTTATTTTCGCCCTTTCACATTTGGAAACAAGTTTGCCCTGTTTTAAATTTGCCCAGAGAGATTACTGTGTAAGATATTATACTGTTTACTTTGAATTCGTCCTGTTTTATTTTAAACATGCTCACTTCTAAAGAGGGCAAAAATTTCTCTGTATACAGTAACTATAAATGAGGACATTTGGGAGGATTTGATCTTCTAGGATTTTAGTGGATAGCATCAGTGTATAGAAGTTGTTTGCAAGGTACATGTATTTATTATAAATATTGCAGTTGTATGCTTGCCACAGAAATGATGTTGTCAGAGAGAAAGGTGATAATGTAGGTCAAGGCATTTGGGGGCTTGTGCAAGATATGGAAGATGTAAAAGGTCTAGTCGATAATAGTAACTGTTGCTGACTGTTTTGGTCACAGGTTTCTTGCCCGCATAAATATGGGATAATTGACAGACAAGGTGTGGACATGGATGGTCAGTATTCCATTTTAGTGGAGTAGCTGGGTAGCTCGATGTTAAATGAGCTTGTACTTGACATTAAGGGAGTTATGTTTTTGGTGATGCAGCATTAGAAAAAATCCATTTGTAGATATGTAACTCTATATGTTTAATGATATTGGTTTTCTCTAATGATCATGTCGAAAGCAAAGGTTGGGGAAAGTGTGAGTGAATGTATGTTTAGAACTATTAGCCAGATCAGCAGTAATTCTGAGAAGTGTTTTGGGAGTTAAATGTAAGCATACTGCAACCAAACAGCATATTAATTGGTGCATTGCTAGTACATGTACATGTATAACCAAAACCTACAATGACAAAGAGTCATTCCCCTTTCTATAGCAATTTTCATAGAAAGCGTTTTAACTCAAATTCATGCTTGCTCCTCATCAGATTTTATTAGGTTTTTTATTAAATTCATTATATTCATGTAAAGTTTATAAATAGCTCCTAAAAAGACTAAATTCTGAAATTGACATTTAATATTAATAAGTAATCTCCAGAGTTGCAAGGTGATGAGAGAAATTTGATGTTTAGTCTGTGTTCAAAAAGTAAACTAAGAAAATGGTACATGAAGAATCATCAAAAGTTGACTAAGTTTAAAGATGAAAAACCAAGAGAAAGGGTCCTAATTCAGGCAGTAGTAAGTAAAGTGAATATAAGCTTGATATTTGAAATAATTAATACACTTAACAGGAATGTTAGATAGGAAGAACTATGAACTCTATCAACTCTTGATTCCCGCCTACATTTTGCACCCATTAAATTCAATATTAATGGCAATTAGGCCATCTTTGTTTAATACAAAGAACAGTTCTATGGTAATTGATTAATCATTTTAATTCCAGTGCTAGATAGTAAATTATCATTAATTCCAGCTTTTGAAAAAAGGGGTGTAGACGATATTTTCTGGTGAAATCGAACTTTCAAGAATCACCATATTTTGAAATAGTCTTAAATAAGATAAAATGTATCTCATATCTTTTCTTATGTTTTACGCAAATAAACAGAACATATATAATATAAAATACAATTATTTAGTTGTAAATAGCTTTAAAATTGGTGAAAAATCAGCATTTTTTTCATTTTCTGTCTATAAGCATATGTTCCCCCCCCCCCCCCCCCCCCCCCCCCCCCCCCCCCCCCCCCGTGAAACACAAAAAGCTTTGGCATAAATTTGTAAAATGACAGTACATATTACCTGTAAAAAGGAATTTTTGTTTCACGGGGGGGGAAAGATGTTTTAAAAATATTTTCCGTTTTCCGTTGCTTTCTATAGTGAAAAACACAAGTTTTACCAAAATTATAGAGTTATCTCTCTTTGATATCCCAAATAAGTAACGTTTTATGAAAATTCATATAAATATCTATAAATATTTTGAAAATCATTCGAATATGTTAACTTTTGAGAATTGACTTAGAGGTAGGCGGGAGAACAATACTATCGTTCGTAGTTCTTTATTCCTTATCTGTAAAAGGCTAATAAAACCTGAATCATGAATCTCCTCTTTCAGTTTGAATATGTTGACAATGTTTGCTTACTCCAAGAATTCCATGCACCCATCAATTTTCTTGATATTTTCAATAAACAAAAAAAATGTGTTTGTGAAAACTGATGCCTCCATATGGCAGCTTATGATGAGGGTCGAATTCTCTCAAATGCATGCCATTAAACTCCAAAGGTCAAGATCAAAAGTGTTGGTACCCAAAGGAAGGTTTTGTTACATTAGGAAATCACCTGTGAAATATAAAAAGGCCCAGTTCTCACTGTCCAAAAGTTATGACCAAGGTTAAAGTTTTAAAAAGTGGGTCAAACTCCTAGGTTATGGTAAAAAGGTCAAAAATATTTATACGTGTACCAGCTGAAAGGTCCTGGCACAAGAAATAGTACACATGTGAAGTATGAAAGCCCTAGCTCCCACTCTTCAAAAATTATGGCCATAAGGTTAAAGTGTGGTATTTTATGTGAAAGAGGTCAGATTTGGTGAAACCCAAAGAAAGATCTTGTCACAGGGAATACACCTGTGAAATATGAAAGCCATAGCTCTACCCACTCAATAGTTGTGGAATAGGTTAAAGTTGGCAATTTAACAAACAAACAGACAGTACAAAAACGATGTAAGTACCCCTGGGGTCTTTTGATCCATAGGCATAAAGTGATACAACTAGATGATTATTATTGGAAAGTAAATTGTATGTATTATTAACTGGAAAAAAATCAATGAAATTTAAAGGTGCTAATAATAACTCCTTGGCTCACGTGATCATGACCCGATATTTTGGTGTTTTTTTATGCACCGGAATGGAAAGATCATGGGGGTATATTGTTTTTGTGCTGTCTGTTTGTCTCTCTGTCTGTCTGTTGTCAACTTTATCCTAGCCCATAACTATTGAGTGGATAGAGTTATGGCTTTTATTTTTCACAGGTGTATTCCTTGCAACAAGACCTTTCCATGGATACCACCAAATTTGACCTTGGATTTTGACCTACTTTTACAAAAAAATAATTTGACCTCTTGACCTGGGAGTTTGACCTACTTTTACAAAAAAAAAATACCACACTTTAACCTTGGCCATAACTTTAAAACAGAGCTATGATCTAAGAGTTGAACCCACTTTTTACTAGTATAAACTTTTACCTTGGTCATAACTTTTGAACAGTTATAAAAAAGGCTTTCATATTGCAAAGGTGTATCCCTTAAAGTAACAAGACCTTCCTTTGGGTACCAACACTTTTAACCTTGACCTTTGGAGTTCAACATGCATTTGAGAGAATTCAACCCTTGCCATACAGGCATATGTGTTTCACAAACACATCTTGTTTAGTCTGATATCTGTTTTCATTTATTATATATTCAAATTAATACTCAGGAGCCACTGGAACAATTCATCCCATTTAACTTGCCATGCAAGATACAAACACCAACATAATGATGTTCATAGTAGCTGATTTTATTACTAACAATTAAGAATAAATAAATACAGAAAGAATTTTAATTCATGAAAAAAACATAGTAGCAAAAAAATTCAGAAAATATATGGCAATTTTAATTGCTCTCAACAAATAAACATTTTTCAACAAATGTACCTTCCAAAAGAGTATAAGTAAATGAGTATAATGGCCAAGCCTATAGAGCCCATTGTCCTAAATGGAGGGCAAATGACTGAATGAGTATATTAATTGGTTGAGTATAAAGTCCTTTGTCCCACAGAGTTGCATGTGAGTATATTAATTGGCCACAATCTAGCATATTTTGGCCAAGAGAATTGACAAGTATATTTGTACACTAAATTAGAAATGTCATTATGTAGGTGGTATCTTGGAGTACAGGCGTCCTTACATGCTGAGTTCATCCAGAATGATGCGAGAAGCAATGGCAGCAGCAAACGCCAGAATCACTCCCAGGATGGCATTGTATGATACACTAATGTTGAATACCTACAGGAGAAATTAAGTTAATTAACACTTATTTTAACAAGATAAATTCATTTACATTCCTAATCTGTTGATTATTTCAGAATCCTGATATCACCATCATTACGCCATATGGGTTTTTATCCACCCTCCTCCTGTAAACCTAGTTATGACCCCTTTCGAAGAAGGGAGGGCATATTGCTTTGCTGCTGTCTGTTGTTCTGTCTGTCAGTCCACCATTAGTTTCTGTTCATTTTCTCTGCAGAGTTTGCACATATTGAAATGAAATTTAGTATACATGCAGACTTATCATAAGAATATCTAGGTCAAGCTCTGTTTTAAGGAATCACTGTCTAGTTAGGAGGGTATGTCAGGGCATCAACAATAGTGGGAAACATGGGATAATTTGCATAACGGGCGAAGCCCGTTATGCTTAAATTATCCCATGTTTCCCACTATTTTTGATGTCCCTGACATACCCTCCTAACTAGACAGTGATTCCTTATATTTCCATTTCATTGTGAAATAAAATTGTAGATTTAGACTTTAAACATAGGTAATCAGAGATTACAGAGCTCACTTCAACGAATGTTGTCTTTAAGTAAGGCAAAGTCACACAATTAACCAACAAAAAGTATACATTCCAAAAATTAAAATATTTTTAAAAGCAATTTTGATCTGATACTTTGAAATAGACCTACATAGAAAATTTAAACTACTTCTTCTTCATGAAAATGTAATGAAAATCCAGCATCTGAAGCAAATTTGAGAGTCTTCATCTCTTGATGCAGCATTTGTGCAAGTTTGGTTTACACAATGTTATATAAGCCTTATAGTTTTTGGTAATAGACCTGCAACCATAACTTTTACCTTGTCTATTATCTGAAAAATGTATGTCCAATTCAGCATCCGAAGCAAGTCCATTAGTGTGCATCCTTAGATGTATCATCCATGCAAGTTTGCTCATTATAGGGCTCATAGTTTATTGGAAATGAAACATGCATCAAAACTAACATTTTCACTCATCCACAAAAAGTAGGTCAGATTCAGCATCAGAAGCAAGCCTGGAAGTATGCATCTTAGATGTATCATCTATGCAAGATTGGTCATTAAAGAACTCATAGTTCCTTGGAAATGAAACCTGCACCAAAAACTTTTAACTATTCACTCAACCGGAAAATGTAGGTCAGATTCAGCATCTGAAGCAAGCCTGGTAGTGTGCATCCTTAGATGTATCATCCATGCAAGTTTGGTCAACATAGGGCTTATAGTTACTTTGAAATGAAACCTACACCAAAAACTTTAACCTGTTCACTCAACTGGAAAATGTAGGTCAGATTCAGCATCCGAAGCAAGCCCGGTAGTATGCATCCTTAGATGTATCATCCATGCAAGTTTGGTCAACATAGGGCTTAAAGTTACTTGCAAATGAAACCTGCACCAAAAACATTAACCTGTTCGCTCAACTGGAAAATGTAGGTCAGATTCAGCATCCGAAGCAAGCCCGGTAGTATGCATCCTTAGATGTATCATCCATGCAAGTTTGGTCAACATAGGACTTATAGTTACTTTGAAATGAAACCTACACCAAAAACTTTAACCTGTTCACTCAACTGGAAAATGTAGGTCAGATTCAGCATCCGAAGCAAGCCCGGTAGTATGCATCCTTAGATGTATCATCCATGCAAGTTTGGTCAACATAGGGCTTATAGTTACTTGGAACCCACACCAAAAACTGCACCAAAAATGTTAACCTGCTCCAAAAACATTAACCTGGTCATTCCTTTGCTGAAATTGCAGCATCTGAAACTTTGTCTGGTACAATAAAACACACTAAAACCATCTTCCATGCATGTCTAATCAGTATAGGACACAGAAGTAATTAAAAAGAAAACTGCTCCAAAAAACTTAACATTAACCTGGGACGCCGACGCCGAGGGTATCACATAAGCTCCCCCCAACTTCGTTGAGGTGAGCTAAAAATGTAGATAAACAGATTTAAATCACATGATGACTTCCATGCCAATTTCAATAGTCCTCGCCAACCGACGTCAAACACAAAGGCAGCCGCACGAGATTTACATGCATATTTGGCCTCCTCAACGTCAGACACAGAGACAGATGTGCACGAGAATTGCATGCGTATTAGGCCTTCTTAGCTCCCGACCTATCAACCTGCCTAATTTACATTCCGGCAGAATTATCAAGAAATAAACTACCCCTAACTTTCAAAGAGTTATCACAGAGAAAAAAAATTAGAAATGGAAATATTTGGGTATCATGGACCATTTTGGACAGAGTTATGCCCTTTGGACTTAGAAAAACTCCAATTATTTTGGGCTTTACACATTAGGGGTATGAATTTTATGGCCCCAGTCTACAAACTTTTTTGATAACCCTTTGTATAAGTTTTAAAAATAATATATTAAAGTGACACTGCGTGGCATGAGTTGAATACACTTGTACAATAAAATTCAGTTATAAGGAAGTTAAATCACATAAACTAATACATGCTCTTACCTTCATCTGTAGGGGTTGTTGTGCAAGGAAAGCCTGGGTCTTTAATCTATCTTTTGTTGGATAAATACACTGTAAAAAATATACGCATAAGGGGTGATTTTTTAAAAATAGATTTGTCTTAATGGGAAATAGATGTAGTACGTCATAGAAAAACACACTCAAATAATCATTCATTTCAATTATCTGAAAAATTATGTTGAAACAAAGTTGCTAACCTACCTTTATTTACTTGAAAAATATTATCAACTTTTAATTAGTGAAGAAGTACTTTTTTTCAGCGTAGTATTAATTTACACTACGTACGTGGTCACAAAATTTGTACAATCGAACTTATTGCAAATATAGTGCATATAAAGAGGGTCTTAAGATACCCGTATAATTTTCTACCAGTGGATTGAAAAGAATTAGAGATTTCGCGGAATTATGAGCCCGTGGAAAAAAGTATGTCTACCGTATATTCATTGAAAATCATACTTGGATCATCCTTTCTCCTTCAAAGTTGGCCTCTGCAAAGGCAGATGTGGTGATAAAGAGTAGAGCCATTGGGATCAGAAACTGAGAGATTTCGAGGACAGTGGCGTGATGGCTGATCCAGTATATAATGTAATCACCACACCACAGAATGACGTAGGCAATCCAGCTGGCCATCCATCTTTGTAGGCAGGTGGACGTCAGCCGCATACGACTCTGGGAAAGGTAAATGTGAATATTGAATAAAGGAAAAATAAACAAATAAACTGGTTATCAATTTTTTTTTCATAATTATCTGTGCATGCCTTTCAAGTTTTGTTGAACTTTAAACTACTTATTCGTGTAGTAGAGGACATGTACAAAAATGACATTAATCTGTATTAATTTTTTTTTATTTCAAAGGAATTTCCTTTGTAAAGTTGGAAAGGCAAATTTGATTAAATCATTTGATATGTGTAAAAAAAAAGGTAGTTTACTTTAAGAGTACAAATGTATAATAAAATTTTTATAAAATCTTCCAAATTTAGATACATGTACATGTACATGTAGTTGTTAAAGCTTTCAATAGATTATTTGAATTTTGATTTATTGATAAAATGAAACTTTACTTCTTAAAGGTTCATCGATACTCTGATAAGAGAGATAACTCTTTAAAATGACATAAACATCTCTTATTTGCAAACTTGAAGTGTCTCCTTTTCCCAATTTTGCCCTGCAAGCTATACTATAACTTATAAAATACATTATTAAGGTTCAAGCAACATTTTATATGAGTGAGCAAAGGGTCAAGATCAAGTTCTGATACTCACTGATAACCTCTAGTATTAGTAAAGAATCAGGTCTGGAATGAGCATATTTACTGAAGAGCTCTGGAGGATCTGTACCAGACAGTGTACTGATACTTAATGATTAAGCTCCAGTAGCAGTGAAGAATCTGCTTTGAACATTTTGATTGCTGATACCGTTATTTACTGATAACCTGCTGATACTTACTATAACCTCCAGTGATAGTGAAGATTCTGGTCTGGACTGAGTACTGATGCTTACTGATAACCTACTAACCTATAGTTATAATGTAGAATCTGGTCTGGACTGAGCACTGATACTTACTGATAACCTACTGATACTTACTGATAACCTCCAGTAGTAGTGGAGAATCTGGTCTGGACTGAGTACTGACTTTAAGGAGGCTGGCGGGTCAAAAATTTAATCTTAAATTAACCACCAGATTTAAATTATTTTTTAAGATATGGTATATTTAGCTGTCAACTATCATTTGGCAATGAAAACATTCATATATTTTAGTTTTAAAATTTTATCATTTTGTATATCTTTATATGGAGCTCTCCTTTTAAAGGAGACTGAAATAGTCTAAAAATGGCTGCCACCCCCTAGCCTCGTTAAGGAGAATTTAGAGGGTATGTCTTCACTTTCTTCAAATACTTCCTGTAAGACGAATGAAACATAAATTGTGATACATCATTTGTATGTTTTAAACAATTATCATTTTAATGTGATTGCCATTTACAAAAGAAAAAACAAGCCAAATACAAGTATTTTGGTGGGGGGTGGGGGGGGGGCTTGGGAGGGAAGGGGGTTTCTTAATTTAAGAGCTTTAGTGCTTGTGAAAAGAAGATAAGTTTGTGAAATACTATGCACCTGTTGGCAATGGCAAGTTCAAAAAAAGCTATTTTTAGCATATAAGTCACAGTCAACGTCATAAGGTCATTGACCTTCATGTCATTTGAAAGAACCTAATTAGTGGAGTATGCATATCAAATATGAAGTCTCTATCTCCTTTGGTTCAAATGTTATTGCGAAAGTTCGAAAAAGCCATTTTTAGCATATTGGTCACAGTCAATGTACATGGTCATTGACCTTGATGTCATTTGCAAGAGCTTAATTAGTGGAGGAAGCATACCAAATGAGAAGTCTCTATCTCTCGTGGTTCAAAAGTTATGATGATGGTTAAAGATGGCAACAGACAGACATACAGGACAAAAAGAATATGTGGCCCTGAGCTATCGATCTGGGCGTGTAAAAAGGTGAAATCCTATGATGCATCAGACACATAGTATAGATTGGAAATAAGTAAAACTTTGATATGATGTCTATGAGCAATGACACAAACATGATGACGCATGTATTGTGAAATGCAAATTCATCAACACAAACATGATATTGTGAAATTCAAATTCATGGAACCCCTAATCCAATATGATTACCTTGTCCTCATCATTTATTGATGCGGAGATTTCCACTGTGCTGGTGGACTGGCTAGAAACAATGTCCTCAGGATTATCATTTCCTTCTAAGGTCTGGGCTCGGTTTCCTTTTGCGGATATGTTGTCATCCCAAATAAAAAAATCAGCCCCCTCCTCTGAAAAAATACCATAAATTCTTTTATTTAGGTACATGTATAATGGTACTTTTTTAAAAAGTATAAAACAATGTTTGATGGTTTGTACAACATTTTCAATAAGAGTATATTTTTTCTAAGTAATGTTAAAGCTTATACAATGTTTGATAACATGAGGATTTTTGTACAAATTTAACCTTTTTATTTATTTTTTTCATGTACAGTGATATTTACTAGCTGTCATCAAAGTTTAAGTTAATTGTGGATTGCAAAGACATTTATCGACTATCAGAAATCTGTTAAGGAATATTTGTCTTATTAATGAAATCAAACAAACCGACCAAGAAACGTTAAAACATTTAAAAGGAGAGGGAAAAATAAGACAATTAAGAAACTTCAAGAAAGACCACATTTCAGCTCAATTATACACACAAATTCTTCTCTCTTTAATAGGGCTGATTCATAGCAAAAATATTAGACATAGAAATAGAAATTATATTAAATCTAATGTAATTATCATGCAGAGATAGATCATTTGTTAAATATTCAATCACAGAGATCATAAAAAAATATTTTTGGTTTATATTTGGGTAACTTACATACACTCTTAGATGATGGATTCTTAAAATATGATGACTGAAAAGTACCAATGGTGTATACCATAAAGTTTATACTGTTAACTAGCAGAAGTAAATTTTCATTTTGAACAGTGCAATGATAATACAACACATACTGTACTATGATAATATGATTGTCTTATGACTCTATGTATTCAGGAGACATTTTTTACCATAAAAAAAAGTCCCTGGAAAAAATATTGGATATACATTTGTGTAGGAACTTTTAGACATGTACATAGACAAACATTTGAGTAGGTGCAATTGAACTTTTACGCAAGTATCTTGGACATGGGTACTAAACAAGTTTTACTGTACCAATCTTATCATACAGTGTATTTATATAATGATATTTGTGATATCAGTGTATGATACCTGTGTTCAGTGTGTTGGATATATAGAGAATAATACATACCCTTTTCCATATCACATACTGTATCAGCCCGAGACACCAATATCAGCCAGAGGGCCCCAAGCCCGAGGGCTGATATTGGTCGAGGGCTGATACAGGATGTGATGTGGAAAACGGTATGTTTTATTATATTTATTACATACTTAGTAATAAAATACAGAACACATTGAGTAGAGAAGAAAATAAGTAAGTATAATCTTGCACAGACTTCTTACAATGTACACGGTCTTTTATCTCATATGGTTTTGGTTTGTTTCTACATGTACTTCTATTTCAAATGTCCCCGATCCGTAATTTGAAAATAATCAATTAATAATTGTCAATTAGATTTTCCTTACATTCAAAAAGTAAAAATTAAGAGAATTATGTAACCCCCAAAATATGTATCTGATCACAAGTACTGTTTTTTTAGGTTTTATTTATTAAGGGTGTGATATTGATCCGTTTCAGCCAAATCCAAATCGGCCCCACAAATCCATATCATCCCTGCAGGGCTGATACAACTATTGTGACGTCAGCCATATCGCATATGCAAAAAACCTGTATTTATTACTAAGTATGAAATAAAACTGTAAAATACCTGATGCCACATGACTTAGATGACACATGTGTACAGGTTCCTGTTTCTGGAACTTCCGCATGTAATGTCGAGCATCTTCCTCTAGAAGCAACATAAACTTCCTGAGACCTACAAATCACAATAAATAAACATTAAAGGTTTCTCAAGTTGAAATGACCACATAATTTAATGTTATTTCATGTAGTTGTACATTTAGGGCTTAGACTGTTGACTAAAATATTTACCAAATTAAAATACATTGATATTACATGTAAGTATAATTATACTACTGCATTTCATTTTCTGGCTTTATGCTCAAGTATTTAAAAGATACATGTCCAATTAAAAATATATATATATATATCTTTTAATTAGTTTTTTGGTCTGTTTTATTTAATTATTTAAAGTCTGAATACCCATTGTATGAGTTCTGCAAACAGACAACAAGACACAACACACCAGAAGGTTCCAGATCAGAGACATAGTGCTGAAGGCCACGTGGGAGGCAAACATGATATGGCAGATTGAATTATGTAGAAAGATCTTGTCACAGTTGTTAGGTCCAAAGATGTGGAAGTCTGAGTAACAGTTTAGCACGATCATTGCCACGCTGAGAAAAGTCACCAATCCAATAGCACTGACCTTGAAAAATGTACGAGAATGAATGCGAACACTTTCAGAGAAATTGCGATTTGAGAAAAGTCTTCCTGCAAGTTTCTGAGAATACAGTCCAAGACATATCCACCCAAAGCCAAGCATGATGTTAGATAAGCCTATGGTTAAGGTGGTTTGAGAATAGCTGCTCCTGATGTCATACACAGTATGTACCATGCCTGTGACTGAGAATACCGTAGCAAGGAATAGAGTAACAGCGTGAAGGAACACAGATAAACATGGCACCCTCCTCCTGCCTTTCAATTTGATTCCTAAAATCTGGACTAGAGCTTTCCAAGCCCATTCTGGAAGTTGACGAGAATTTGGAACTTTCTTTTCTTCTCCCGAGTTTAGATGCCTAGAAAATCCTACTTGCTGAGAACTACGCATCCTCTCATAATTTGTAGACATTGTTCAATGGCTGCAAAAAAAAAATTGTTTTTACATGTTAAACTTCAGTCATGTGATGACTTTGAGACTATTAGTCATTCAGAAAGAATGACAGTGCACTAATTTAGTATGTCATTTGGAACCTTTTCAGCTACCCATTTTAATCTTTACATTTCAATATACAGTCATTCCCGTATAATTCATACAATTACCAAGTCCATAGTATTGAAAAACGAATTTAAGAGCAATGATATAATTTTGTGTTTGATTGATAAAGTAAACATCCTTTGTTGATAAAATGAAATTTTACACGTAAATATTTCTTCGTTTTGTTTTTATGGCCATTCCAACTCAACACATGCAAGAACTCCGTAACGGAGGTTATAACTCTGTAAAAGCATCTGTAAAGTTTTATAAATCTTTGTTCATGTTTTAATTTTTATTGAACTTCGAAGCTTTATCAATATACAGCTAAATTATAACAGAAGAAATTCTGAACTGCAAACATAAAAAATATTAACTAAATATGTGTAAATCCAGATAACAGAATTTTTGGACAATAAAATAAACACTATTTTCCAGTAGGAATATTGCCAAGCAATCAGAATATTACATTATTTGACCACTTGATTTGAAAAATGAAAGGATATATCTTTAGAATGAAAGACCTTTTCTGATTATAAATTGACCACTTTTAAAAGAAAAGGTGATATACAAATTGCTCCAAAATTGTAACGGAGGTTACACAAACTCATTTTGGAGATTAAGAGATAAAAATACTTTGTAAAACGTGTAAAACACACTTTGAAAATAATGTATTTACACAATTAAGAGTAAAACTAAACTGTTTCCCCCTCTATTTTAAAGCAATTTACCAAAAAGTGTGTTTCGTTACGGAGGTTATTATGAATATTTATAAAAAAGAGTAAAACGAATTTTAGACTTCCTATCAGCTTTACAAACTTATGTCGCTCAGCATTACTAAGGGTCAATCAACTTACTCAAATATTTATTAATATGTTACTGTCTTTTTTAACTGCAAATGTGAAAGTGAAGATTTCAACTTCTATAACCTCCGTTACAAAATTCGTTTCGAAGAATCGGTGTGAATGCGTTTACCTAATGGTGAATTTAAATAAGAATAATTGGAAAACATACTTTATTTGTAAAGAAAGGATAAAAATATTTGTTTTAACGTTTTTTAGGCAAATACATTTATTTAAAAAAAAATCCCAAATAATTTTAACCTCCGTTACGAAATACCTTACTGAACCCTGTAATGATGAAGTGATTTATTGAATCATTGTGAAGTAACTGTCACCATGGTCACACATAAGCATAATTTTTTAAGAAAACTTATTCAATATATCAGAATATGTGAAAAATTCACTAAAAGACACGAAAATTCACTTTTTGCAGAAAAACCCAACCTCCGTTACATCGCTGGTTTTACGTATAAAAGAGCATAATTTCACTGTATACCGCTGATAGTTCACATAAGAGTGACCTTTTTATGCCCATACGCATTACGGAATATTAGACATTTACAAAACGAAAAAGAAACACTATAATTATTATTTGTAATATTCAAAAACATCTAAGTTAAGGCCATTTTTACCACAATATTTTCAAATATACCTTTATTTTTTGCTTTAAATTCATTATGATTCTTATATTCCATTTTGTTGTCAACTTAAAGAGTAAACTTCCAGCATTATCTGGTAGATTTAAACACCTGAAATATTGCACACGTCAGATTTTGTTGATTTACTGTTACGGAGGTTAGAGGTTACGGAGGTTAGAACCATCAATAATATCTTTATTTCTGAATTGTTGTGTAACTTTCCTTACATTTGTTTTTTGTTTACTAGACATACCCATTAGTGTCAATCAACTGCCTTGAAATAGTACTTCACATAGCCTCTGTTTCTTCACAATCGCTGTCACGTAGGTTAGGTTCTTATATGCGACATTATAAAAAATCCGTATTTTTACAAATTTTGAACACGGATTTATTAATTTGCTTAAAAAAGGATTCTGTGCTAAAGTTTTAATATATATTAGACACAAAAACACAGATTTAGCTCTACTAACGATATATTGTATTATCTTAAAAACTATTCAAACACTGTTATGGTAGGTTAGGTGAAACTTGGCGACAGCGATGATCAAGGTCTGTTTAAAAAATTGTTATTCATTTACCAATGAAAGTTTCATTTATATGATTTTGACATGTTTCTTCATTAATTAAAACAATTTTTGTTTGTTTAAAACAAAATGCGACCAGGTTATGCACATTTAACCAGCAAGGTATACGATGGCGACATCGCCTTTTATACGATTCCGGACTTCCCTTTGTGTAAATACTAGTGTTGGCAACGAGTACCCGATTAACCGGTTAACCGTCGAACGATGCGAGTATCGGTTAGTAAAACTGCTATTCGGTTACTCGGATAAAAATAAATTTTTCAAAGTAAAAACGTATAAAATAGTTTTTAAGTTATTTGTAAATGTATATATCGACACATTTCCCCAATTTGATTACCGTTAGGCTTGCTTTAGTGGTTCACAAATAGGATCGATTTGTTTTGATTAGTTTAATTGAAGACTTTAATTGCCAGGGGTTACACGTTTTGAAGACCCGAGTTATAATTACCTCATTTAGACCTGTGTTAGTTAGAGGGATATACTTTAACAAGATGCCGCCACAAACATCTAAAGCTTGGAAATATTGTTAAAGAACGCCTGACTCAAAATCTGTCAGATGCAAATTATTGTGAATCAAAGTTGTCGTATACGGGTGAAACTACAGATATTCAAGATCACCTTAGATTGAAACATATTTCGGAAATGATAAACATGCACGGCTATATCATTATCGCTCGACGATTCTTAGCCATTCCCGCTAGTTCAGTACGATCAGAACGCATTTTCCTTATGACAGAAAATGTTATATCACCAAGTTGCAAAATCGTTTGTCCTCATGTGTTGATAAAGTTATTTTCTCAAACTTAAACAGACTGCCCGTTTCAAGTGAAATTTAAAATCAAAATTCTTCGAAGGTTTCTTTGAGTTTGTTTTCATATAACGTTCATATACGTTACATTCGTGGTATATTTCTACTAATAAGTAAAAGAATGAGATTAATAATAAACACGGAAACTATTTAAAAAAAACATCCGAGTAACCGGGTACTCGATCGGAAGATTAAGCGAGTAACCGGTTACTAAAAATCGTCCGATTTGCCAACACTAGTAAATACTCGGAGAAAAAATATCAAAAAATATAACAGCTAATATTATTTTGTGTGGCAAAATATGTTAACATAAAGGGTCAAGGAATAATTTGAATATCAGTAACCATAGCTTTGAAATGTATTGAAATGTATTGGCGACATAGCGTTTTTTCATTTGTATGAATTATACGGGAATGACTGTATATCACTAAATTAATCTATGATTATATATTGTGCAAACATATATGTTAAAATATTTATGCCTTAAAATTTTTGTCATACATTTTCTATAATTACAGATAATGCCATTGAAAAGAACATGTGTAAGCCTTAAATTCCAGAAATTTGAACAGGACCACTATTGAATTTAAGGTATCCGAAAATAGGCGGAGACATTTAAATCGCATGGATGTGGAATGTAAACAATATAGCACATATGATTTTTTCTCATCAGATGCTACACTACGAATTCAAATGGTAAAGAGAGAGATTGACAATGTGTAGTTTCATGGTGCAGAAGTAATAAATGATCCTAAAGTTTAGGGATGGGGTAGATGTATCGCCCTGCAGACCTTGATACTGAGGCGACATGAGCCTATATTTACTAATCTCACTACCAATACCAGAATTCTTTCAAAACACTCTTAACAAAAAATACACAGTAAAAAAAGAGAATTTAATCTTCGAACCTTATTAAAATTTGCGCAAAAATATTGCATAGTTTGAAGTTGGAAGTACGATAGATATTGTCCGAATAGAAACTTCAAATGACAAACACAATGAAATGTTCAACAGCTGTTCATTGAAAGCACTGGAGTATCGAACCATGGAATGTCATGTAAGTAAAGTGATTATAATATCAATAGTTGACACTTGGGGACCTGTTAATCTAGTGGTTAACTTTATGGTAGTTTAGAGACTTTTTTCAAAAAATTAGATATGAGCCACAACTTGGCCAGCAACATTGTCCTTTGGCTATAAATAAATTTAAATTAAAATACACATTCTGTGCATATGAGACCAATGGCCAAGTTGCGACTTGATGTAAACAAATCAATGAAAACTGGTATGCATATGAATAACAATAGAAATGTGACAAAACTGTTAGACCCCTTCTCAAAAGCTAGTGTCACTCAGCATTATTTGGTACTTTCATGTAATATAATATGCCAAACCTGCTCTTAAGAAATTGTTTAATACCTATAAAACAAAAATTTCATGAAATTCGGGATTTTCTTTTGCGCAAAACACTGGGACCCAACTCTCATAGCTTAAGCGTCATGTCCGGCACAATCTCTTGATTAAGCTATATAGCTTGATTTAGCTATATAGCTTTATTAAGCTATTCAGAATAGCTAAATGTATTTTCGTTATAACACTTCATTTCTTAAAAGAAACACACTTTATATAAAAAATGTCGAATTATTAAAAATATCAATTATTTTAAAAGAAAGAAATTGAGAAGGATTCTGTCTGCAACAAAAAATGCTTTATTTCACTTTTCAATTCATGAGCTAATCATGAAAAAAAAAACGGCCTCGGTTTACAAAGTCGAAGGAAAACCCATACAGGTAATACACTCAGGTAACATCCTGTGTATATGTACTCAACAAAAAAAGAAACGCATGTTCAGATTAAACATGATAATTTAAGTTTTCAGTTTACTCCTTATTTTTTTATTATTGATTTTAGAGGGTTTTGATGAAAATCAAACATGTCCTTGTGTTGCTGTGTTGGTGTTAATTAATATATTTGTTTTATTGATTTAAATGTATACTCTGGCAATTTAAAGCTTTATTCTGAATTTTAGATGTAATGTCAAACGTTTCATAGTGTTTTGAGTCTTGGCTAATTAGGAAAGATAACTCTTGAAAGTGGACTTTTTATACCAAATATTTTTTAAATTGGATTTTTCATTTGCTTTAAACTTTCTTCATTCAATTTGACACATGTAATTCATTAAAATACATTCCTTATCTCTTCAGAACACATTTTTTAAATGTTTTATGGGATTAAAAAGATAATGACATTAATTGTTTTCTAGGAGAAAATTATTTTTTCTAATAAAATTATTATTAGGTATTATGAGGTATTTTCACTGTGTGTACTTGTCTTAAGAAGATGCCCATCATTTGATACTGAAAGTTCTGAAATTCTGTGAATAATAAACCTGAAATAAAACATTTCACTAAAATAAAACAAAAACTAAAAAAATTCTATAAAAATATTATGATATCAATACCCCCATCTGGATATTTGACATCTACATTATAAGTGGTGCTGTATTGAAATCTAAAATAAACTGTGGATGTAATGAGCCACCTTAAACATGATAATTTAAGTTTTCAGTTTACTCCTTATTTTTTTATTATTGATTTTAGAGGGTTTTGATGAAAATCAAACATGTCCTGTGTTGCGAGTAGAATTTATATTTACTGTATACAGGGAAATATTCGCCCCCGTTTTATTTTCGCCCCTTTCGCCCTTACATCGTTTGGGCGAATTTAAAAAGGGGCGAATTTAAAATATACAATATATTTTCTTAAACAAAACTGTGACTGGACGAATTTAAAACGGGGCAAAATTGGTTGCCAGTGTGAAAGGGCGAAAATAAAACGGGGCAAAAATAACCCTGTATACAGTATGTCATTGTCGACGCCTCCAAATTCTAGGGGCATAGCGTTTAAAACATCCATATGTCCTTTGCGACGTCTAAGCGCAACTGGATTTCCAATGTATGGATGTCGTGCACAAATACCAGCTCCTCTCAGTCTCTTGCGAATAATTTATGCACTTTTATGCTGATTTTTTCATCCAGCAATTGTAGCAGCATTTTTACAGTAGTTCTGAATCGCGTGAGGTGCTGAAAAAAGGGGGGGTCTGACGGTCCTGCCTGGGTTTGGTTACCTGCGGATAGCCAATTCTTGGTCTTCCGACTTTAGTTTAAGGCTGCAAAGCCCATTGATGTGTTCCAAATGCAGTTGCAACTTCCTGTTGCGTAGCTCCATTTAGTATCATCATTCAGCCTGGTTGTGTTCATCTTTGTTTCAACGTGGCATTGCAGCATCAACACTGCAATCAAATCTTAAATATGGGTTTAATAGGAGTGATAATAGTTTTTCTAAATCCAAAATATCAACAGAAAAAGACATCCGATTTAGAAGAAATCATGAAAAACAATACTTTCAGAAACATGTTTAATCAGGGGAGATAATTCAACACTTGGGTTTTAAAACCTCATGTTGTCCTTTAAATAGGTCAGGTATCCAATGATATAAAATATAGTTGTTCCATGTACATCTAAAAAAATTCTTTTACGAGTAAAACAATATGCGTTTCTTTTTTTGTTGAGTATAGGTAGTATACACAAGCCAGCGTCGTTCCCTCGGGGCTTCTCAGCCGCTTCGATTAAGCTCCACCCCACACCAAACTTACCTGAGGAAAACCGTACGGTTAAAAACCTCGGCCTTTAAGCTATTTTATTAGACTTTTTTCTCAATAGTGTTATTTTTTCAACAAGTGCAAAAAGTCGCACCTTGGTGCAGTGGAAATATTAAACTTGGAAGTCTTCCGAATACAACGCATGTGAAAATCACTCACCAAATTGCGTCTCCTTGAGAGACTTTGTACTCAAAGTTTTAAAAGTTTTGGGGCTATTGATGAGTGACCACACAGTTATTTCTTGAATGAAATTATATAAGAGGTCATTTATGACCAACAGGATAATTGATTGGTAAGAGCTCAGCACATTAAGAAGCAATCATACTTACCCACGCCTCATCGCAAACACAGTTAATCAAACAATGGAAATTCATGCTTTGTTTAAAAGTACTCAACAGTAGCAATGGGTTTACAGTCACTTCGTACACAAACCGAGTCGTACACAAACCAACTCGTATACAAAAAGTCAACTCGTACACAAAAAAAAGTCAACTCGTACACAAACCAGAAGTCAACTCTTACACGACTCATACATAGGTTTTCCTTTGTGGTTTAAGGTAATATTTGCCACAGTTTCCAAATAATTGAGAAGTCAACTCGTACACAAATGTGTTTTGAGTTAACTAAATTAAGATTGTCGAATTCATTCTTAATTCTTAGATTAATTCATAAATAAATGTAATTATCTTAAATAATTCTTATATTGTCAATTTAAATATTTTGTTTGTTAAATATGTAGTTGAAAAACTTAATTCAAATGGATTTTTAATTGTCAACAAAATTGTTATACGTAGATTTTATATTTTTAAAAAGTTTTCTGTTATGCAAGTAATGCATGTTAATGTAGAATAAAATATCTATAGCATCCTAATTTATTATGCTAAATAGATATATAGTGTAGATAGTAAATGCGATCTAAATGCAATCTAAATACATGGTAAGAATTTAATGGTATACTGTATAACACATTTTTCCTACACATATCTAAACTTATTTAAATAAAAAAAAGTTTTAGAAACTTACCGTCTTGATACAGGAAAGACAAATCTCTCTAACCATGGTGAAGTATAAGGAATGAAGAAACTTGGAGACGTTTTCGATACATATAGTATCTCATAATTAAAGGATACTGAATTATGGGCATCTCGTAATTAGCGTTTGTCGCAGATTCAAGAAACCACCGTGCGTGTGTTGGTTTAACAATACTTCTTTGATGTCTTTGATGTTCCTATCAGGGAAGTTGTATTATTTAAATATTTAGGGGGAAAACTTAAAGAAAAGTAACACTTCGCGTTATCAAACATTATTTGTATAAAATTAAATCATAACGATTGTATTATAAATCTTGTGTACGAGTTGACTTCTGGTTTTTGTGTACGAGTTGACTCTTTGTATATGAGTTGGTTTGTGTACGACTCGGTTTGTGTACGAAGTGACTGGACACCTAGCAATGTTATAACTTTCTATGATTTAGGTTGTATTTTTGATAGCCCATAGTACATAAATTATATAAATAGTCAAATACTTGTGACTTTTTGTTTATTTCTTGCAAAAAACGTTTTTGTGAAAAACTGCACATAAATAGCTTTATCAAGCTATTTTGAATAACTTAAAAAAGCTAAATAGCTTTTCAAAGCTATATAGCTTAATCAAGAGATTGTGCTGGACCTGAGCATGTTAAGTGCACTCATTCTTTGTCATGCCATATTAAAATTACACTGAATGTTTCTCTTGAAAAGCTCAAATGGGCTATGCCTGCTGCTCAATCCATTTATGTGCTAGTACACAATAAAATTTGTTCAAATCAAATCATAGTTTTTGCAATACTGTTTTCAGTATTTTGAAATTCATTTCTTATAGCTTTTTCAAAATTTGTTTATGGGGGAGGGGCATTTAGAGAAAATTCGAACTTAGTCGTACTTTTCTACTTTGTCTAACTTCGTTACCTGGCGATGTAACTTATCTGCACCAAAAACTAGTTCTGTAATTTGTCTAACAACTTTTCAGAAGTATTGAGAAGATAAACACATGATAAATCGTCTCTCAAACATTTTTGGCTTGCGATCTCGAGATTCAAAATCAGCTGGTAGAATCTATGAATATCAAGCCCGATGATAATTCTATAAATAGGTAGAAGTCGCTCCAGGCCAAGATATATTCGAAGATGGCAGTAAAAACTGCACTAGGGAATTTCTTTAGGAAGTTTGCACACGTTAGGTATGTATTTACAGATTACAATGAAGAGCTTAATTGTTATCTTCTTATGTGCACTGCACCAGATGACAGCGTTCATCAGTATAAACCTGTTCATCTGCATGTTTTGCAAGACACCAGGAAAAATGGGGGTTAGTGGTGGTGGTGGTGTTAGAACAGATACTGTAACAGAGAAAGATATTATTGTTGACCTGAACCGTAGACATCGAAGCAAATTGAAAGGGGGGGGGGCTAAACCAACAATAAAAGGTTAACCTCAATTTTCAATGCCTTAATTAATTTATTATTTGCAAAAATGTGGTAGGGGGCTAAGACCCCCTAGCCTGCCCCCCCCCCCCCCCGAAATTTGAATGACATGCCTTTAAGACTATATAGTGAAGTTTTTCATAGGCACTTGGTTTCAGGATGGTGAATTTTGATTGTGCATAGACCGTTCATGGTAAATGTGGTACGTACTGCTGGTTTGCATGGCAAAATGATATAGTTTGGTGAAATATGACGTAAAAGTAATTGTTTAAAATACGTCATTTAATTATCTATCAAGAAAAACTCCGCCAAACGTTATTATTTTGCCCTTCAAAAGTGTAGTACCGCAATTATCGTGAAGGGGCTAATTATGTGGGTTTTTTGGCGTATCTGCATGAATACCCACATCAAAATAAAAATCGCTGAAATTAAAACGTTTTAAAAATGTCATCATTACTGTATATAAAAAGAGTGAAGGTATATATGACACTTGCCATCTTGGATTCCCAAGGGTTTCTCGGTTCAGACTTGATTTTAATTAATATACATGTATACACTTTTCCTACTGGTTTCAGCTAAGATCTAGCTTCAAAAATGATCGACTAACACCCTTCAACCGTCGGCAAATTTAAACTTGTTGTATAAAACATGGGATAAACCAAAAACGTCCTCGATACTAAGCACAGCTAGAAATTGAAAGCAATGGAAGTGCCTATTTCTGACGATTAAAAATGTAGAAGCATCCCGGAATTACACAGAAAATCTGGATAGACAGAACAAGTTTGGTGCAGTTTCTGAACTCTTGATGGCTTGAACTAATCAATCTTTCAAAGTTAATTCTTGGTTACTTTTATTAATGACCAAAAAAAGAGGAATATAATGTTGATTTATAATTAAAATCAACATAACTATGTAAAATAAATAAAAACAATCCGTATAATCATGATAATAATGTCAGCAGCTTGAACTATAAAAATTAAATGGCATCCAAATTTAAATAATTCATCTATTTCAGATTTGGCAATGCTCATGGTGCCATTACTGTCCAAGGAAAAAGTAAGTATATTTACATTTTTTATAACGGGAACATATACAGCGGTATAATATAAAATTGAAGCAAAAAGTTCACCACATGTAAGGTTAAAACACTGCTCATTTGATTGACTAAGAAATGACAATGCCATCTTAAAATTTTCAGTACAAGTACTGGTAGGTAGTTGCATGTTTGTCCTTTTCTTCAAGCTAAGTTGAAAGAAAAAGAAACTACTCTAGTCTTTCATTTTCATTTGAAGGAAAACAAACTGTTTTCAGACTAAATATCATTTTTATGTCCGTCTGTTGCAAACGATGTGAAGCAAAATTGAGTTTTTCACCATATCTTAAAAGTGTTTGAGAGAAGAATACCATACTCCCTTCCTTTATCATGTTTATAGTATTCTTTCTTCTTAGGCCTTTTTTTTTCTGCTTGTCAAATGATTTTTGAGATCCATGATATATGAGATGATGTTTTATTTTTTGAATATCTATTTTATTAGTAATTAGTACATTAGTTCATATCATTACAGAGAGTTATGGAACATCTGCAGGGGAACAGAAAGAATATGCTTATGAGGTAAATTTTGTTAAACCTTATATTGTTATAATTTCAAGCTTCTTTCATTAAATTAAATTTTATTTTCAAATTTACTCTTTTTAGCATACCTCTAAAGTGTATGTTATTATACCTCATTATAAATATTCTACACAACGCGTTATCTGATTGGTTCTAGGTTATCATGTGATCGGGCCGTAAATTTCATATTTCACGGCCGTCGGCGTGCTTTTCATCATATTCCACCTCTTCGGATACTTAGTGCATTTTCCCGAAATAATTATCGTTCGTTTAAAGAAAACTCCCGAGAGTAGTAGACGTCACAATACCCTGGTTTACGTCATAAAATTGATGATAATGTGTCGTCCAAAGGGTTTTAGTAACTTTACGTTAAAAATGAAAGTGAATTTGAGAGTGGTGCCGAATTTGAAAGTTTTTTTTAACTAAAGGTTTTGTTTGTTTTGGTATAATAAACAATTCATTGCATGAATGTTCGGAAAACATGAAGACTTATTCAGCCAAGAAATATCATATTCCCCTTGGGCAAAGCCCTCGGGGAATATGATTTTTCTTGGCTGAATAAGTCTTCATATTTCCCTCACTATCATGCAATAAATGTATAATATTGTCTGTTTCATGTAATCTTCCTTGGTATTAATGTATATTTATTATACCCACTGCAAACTAAGTTTCGGATGGATGGGGGTTATAAAGAAATCACCTTGTCATCTGTCTGTCTGTGCAATCTTTTCTTGACTGTAATTTTGTAATGGAGAATAATATTGGAATTTCATTAAATAAGAACAGAGATTGTAAACTGAGGATGGGCTTCACTGAAGGTCATTCTGTCAGAAGTAAGGTCATTGGCAGAATAGACCAATCCACACGTTACAAGTTTTAAGTTGTGTCCCTTTGTGGGGTCAACCAAAAGGTCAAAAGGGAAAGAAACATTTCTCCTCTTTATGCTACCAAACATTTGGGCGGGCTATGATGAATCCACTGTGTATAAATTGTTTTCTTTGGATGTGTGGATAGCCCCAACATGGGGCAATTAGTATACACTATGCAACAATTTTTCCCAGTCAAATGACAAAGTTACAAACCTGAAAAGTACAAAGGCTACTGTGAGGATTTTATGGGTTTATCCCCTAAGATGGCGGCCAAGGGACATAACTTTTGAAAAGTGTGGATTCAACTATTAAAATATTATACCTGGTATTTTGTCTGAGATATCTATTAGAATAACTTAAGTAATGATTAATACATGTATTAATCATTACTTAAGTTATTCTAATAGATATTGGTGGCAAAAGTGTTAAATTTGTGTCTGTTCTGTATCTTCTTAATGATTCATACTGTATACAGATTACACTTTTTTATTAGATTCCATGACCTTGACCCAAGATAAGTTCAGTAAATCCAAGGTCACTACCAAAAACAGATATGATATGCAAAGAAAGAATGTTCTTAATCTAAAAGAATGTGACAGTTGTAATCTTGACCCAAGTTAATTGTTGCGCATATAATGTCACTAGCGAAAAATGTAAAATTTATAATTTTCTAATGGATGTTCATATGTCAGTCAAAGATTACTAATGATCAAATGATATTTGTTAAAACCAAGGTCATTTTGCCAAATTCCAGGTCATAATGAAATTTAAAATCACATTAGGAAATGGCAACAATAAGTATTATATTTTCAGCTTGCTCATGATACCTGTAGTTCAATATATTTACAGGAATATAAATTTTGCAGATTCTTATCTTTCATAACATCTGATCTTCTCCAAAATAAAAATTGAGGTACAAAAATACAATATACATACAATGTATATGCAAACAATTAAGAACATGAATTCTTTATATAATATTAGCACCATAATTTGAATTCTTTGGAATTGGTCACCGTAAGTATTGAAGGATTTTAAACATTTTAGTTGATGGTTCAAAGAAGGAGTTTTAGCATGTTTAATGAATAAGATTGAGTGCTTTGGTTAAGAAAAGCATTTTACTCTCAGCAATCTACAGTGTATATACAAGTATCATATTTATATTTTTCAGATGGCATGTTCAAATATACGATATGGAGAAGGGGTCACTAGAGAAATTGGATTGGTAAGGTTTTTAATTTGTCTTTATTATAAGCTCACCTGAGCAGGCTGCTCAGAATATGTAGTACATAATCTATCTGTATTTTTGCTAGTTAACTTTTCATAAATTTCATTTTTCGTGAGAACTACTAATTCCATTCTAACTTAGCACATAGTATTTTATGGCAATAAAGGGAATTAAAACCTTAATTAATTTTATTCAACGGTCTGCTGAAAGAACAGCAGGACCATAATCATCAACTCAGGTGAGTGTTGTTACTCATAGGCCTCTTTTTGTAATCTTAATTGTTCGTTTTCAGGACTGTAAAAATCATGGTGCAAAGAACATTTGTGTTATGACGGACAGGAACTTGGTTAAGTTGGAGTCAGTGAAGGTGGTCTGTCAAGCTTTAGAGGATGTTGGACTGAAGTACAGTGTGTATGATAAATGTAGGGTGGAGCCATCAGATAAAAGGCAGGTACAGGGTATCCCGAAACAAGTGCACCAATGAATTTAAGTAAAGAGTGTCTCAAAATAAATACATAAAATAATTTCATCTATCTGGATGTACAGAGAGAAATTACATTCTGCCTTACTGGGTGCATCTTTGTTCTTTTAAGATATGAGAAATTGTAAATTCTTATATTTTCAGTTTTAAAGATGCCATTGACTTTGCCACTAAGGGTAACTTTGACCTATTTGTGGCAGTGGGGGGTGGCTCTGTGATGGACACATGTAAAGCTGCCAATCTTTACTCCTCTAATCCAAAGGCGGAGTTTCTGGACTATGTTAATGCCCCTATAGGGAAGGGCCTGCCTGTCACTCATAAAGTCAAACCCCTGATTGCAGGTAAGACACCTTTAGATAATTAATCCCACTTCTAGTTAAATGTTACATGCCATGTACATTATATAAAAAAACTTTATTTAATCTGTAGGGTTGACACCATGCAGTGCTTCAAGCGTAAATGTCTAATCCTGAAAGATCTTATAAATGAAATGGAAAATTTTGATGATTTGGAGTAAGAAAAGTAAGATATGATATGTTATTTATTCTTTGTTTCAGTGGCAACCACCGCAGGAACAGGAAGTGAGACCACAGGAACAGCTGTGTTTGACTTTTCTGAAATGAGAGCAAAAACAGGTTACATTACTTACATACATATATCTTAAGCTCAACTGAGCAGAAAGCTCAAGTGAGCTTTTCAGATCACCTGTTGTCTGTCTGTCTTTCTAGCTGTCTGTCTAATCATCCATCCATCTAGAAAATTTTGCACATTTTCAAATTCTTCTCAAGAACTACTTGTCAATTTTAACCAAATTTTGTACAAAGCATCCTTGAATGAAAAAAAGTTAAAATTGTTAAAAAATAAAAATAATTTTTACATTGAAATATATCTATGGAAAAAATCTGAAAATTTTCTTAAGATTTAAAGATACTGAAACTTATGTGATAGCATCCTTGTGTAGTGTGGATTTTTTTTTTTAAATGATGGCTCTAAAGGGTAGGATGGGAAATCAAAGTTTTACATTGAAATATCTTTAAGAATTATTAAATATCTTCTTTTTAAGAACCACAGTGTCAGAAAAGCTATCACTTAATTGTAAGTTTCCTTGGGTAGTGTAGATTGTAAATTGTTGAAATCACATTCCCTCCCCACCCCCTTCCCCCGCTGTTCATTTTTAATGTATCAGTCATATCGTTGAAGGTATTTCAAACAGAGAGATCCGCCCCACACTTGGTATAGTTGATCCATTACATCTCAGAACCATGCCAGAGAGGGTGACAGCCTACAGTGGAATTGATGTTCTATGGTAAGCTGGGTTTATTGTTATGCTCTTCATGAAACAAATAAGAAATATAGACACATGCATCCAATTAGAGTTTCCATTAACAGTCCCTGCACTTAAAATTCAGAGTTCTGTGGAAATCTGTACATTTGTTAGAATTCCTACTGTTAAATTTATATATTTTAGATAAAATATACAAATATAGCATCATCTGATTATAAATTTCCATGATAAGTTTAATTTACCAGATTACTTTGTCAGAAACTGTCCCACAAATCTTAACAAACCACAATTCTTTAAAAATGATTTGTAAATAATTTTTGAACACATTTTTATATAGCAGGTTTCTGTGTATGATAGAGACATATTTTGATCATTGATATAATTATTCTGCAAATTCTGTTTTAGCCATGCAATAGAATCCTACACTGCCTTACCATATTATGAGAGAGTCCCCCGTCCTGTCAATCCAAACCTTCGCCCCGCCTACCAGGGTTGTAATCCAATCAGTGACATTTGGGCAAGACATGCCTTACAGATTACCAACAAGTATATCAAGAGGTAATTGTGTAGCCAAAGAAAAGATTAATTATACAGTCAAACTTCATTATTTCAAACTCATTAGGACCAAATTTAATATTTGGGATATCTGAGGATTTTTTATACATCGTACTAAAAGAATATTTTTAAAAGTGTTTGGGACTTCCAAACATTTTGACTTATTTTCTGTTCTAGCTTGTAACATGAGTTTTGATTTGTTAATAGCATGTCGGGTGTGTATTTCCATACACCCGACTTGAGCCAGGGGTAAATTATGTGACATCACAATGCATTGCAGCATGTAGTAAATATTGATAGTTTGAAACACCATTGGTTGCACTTCAGTTTTACCATTTACAAAGAATTTATTTGGTCACATAAAAATTAAATCAAGATCCTTTGTTATCCAGGTTCACTCAAGGGTATATGGGGATTTGCTACTGTTTGTATTCCATACACCCTTTGGCCCCTTGATTGATCATATGTGACAAGCCATGAGAATTTTGGCCCAAATGAGGTACCTGGGAGAAAATGAGATTTTTATACTATCTAGTAGAGATGACCCCCAGTAACAACTATCTGTTGTTTTTTCTTTGATATCCCTATTGATTGTCAAGAAAATTGGACTTTACTACTTGGTTCTTATGCGCCCGGATCGATAGATCAGGGGGCGCATACTGTTTTTGTCCTGTCTATCTTTAAACGTTAACCTTCGCCATAACTTTTGAAATATGAGAGATAGAAACCTCATATTTGGTATGCATATTCCAGTAACCAAGCTCTTTCAAATTACACCAAGGTCAATGACCTTGTGACCTTGACTGTGACCTACTTGTATTTGCTAAAAATAGTCTTTTTGAACCTTTGCAATACATCTTTACATGTAACAATACGAGATAGAAACTTCATACTTTCTATGCATACTCCACTAAATTAAGTTTTTTCAAATGATACCAAGGTTAATGACCTTGTGACCTTGACTGTGACCTATATACTAAAAATAGTTTTTTCAAACTTAGGGACCACTGGGTACATAGTGTTTCATGAACACATCTTGCTTTATCTGATATTGGTGATTTCTGCGACTTTAAAGTAACATAAAAGCAATGAAGTAACACAATTTGAAATAGATGTTATTTCATTCTGAAACACATATTGTTTGATCAAATTAATACAACAGAATATAACAGTTTTAAGAACTGGATAAAATCAAACTCTTAACATCCATGACTGTTTGACAGCATGTAAATTACATTGATTTGTTACAATGTTAATTTGCACATTTTCTCTTTCCTAATTTCACTTTCTGTTCAACTTTTATGGCTGATGGTTTTGGTACACTTGGGCGGGGACATGCCTCATGACTGGCACAGTATGGGGCCACCTCGTCGTATAAATACCACTGTCGCTGTGCGTCAAGGCCACATGCTTTGATAACAGTTGGAAGAGAGGCATCCATGTTTGGAAACCTGAATTCTTTGTGTTTCAGGATGTTGACAGTAATTTCTTCATCACCAGCATACTTTCGTAGATGGACTACTCCAGGATGTTCCTGTGTCATGCTGCAAAAGTCAAAGATGTTAGATCTTCCAACATATATTGTTTTTCTAACATATTTATCTACAGTTTAATGCAAAAGATATTGAAGGAGCACAGTCATGGCAGTTAGAATTAGTTAAGAATTTCTCTTCAGTTCTGTTTTTAGCAGCATACATGTACATGCATACAAAAATTTTCAAAATTCAATGCTAACAGAATTCTTCATAACCTTATACTTAAAATTTGCATTTGTCAACATGGGCTTAAATCTGATGTATTTGGTGTTTACTTTTGGGGATTTTTTTTTTTTTTTTTTTTGTATACATGTTCATGTAATTTTTTTAATTTGACAACATAAAGATATTTAATTGAGGGATAAATTATACAAGCATAAGAAAATAAAAGAATATATGACAAACAAACACCAAATATATATATTTAATAAGATGAACATGTATAAAGAAAAATACTAAATTAATTTCGATGTTTTGGTCTGAAAATCGCTGGTTTTACTAAAGTCATGAAATTCAGACCAAATTAAATAAAATGAAAAAAAAAATATAATACCATAGAAGTACTTTTTTCGTATGGTATTAATTTACGGTATGTACGCGGTCACAAATTTTTCGCGGAAATTTGTCCAAGCATACTTAATAAACATGTAAGGTATATATAGGGACAGTTAAGAAATCCACATGATTTTCTACCTGCAGATTAAACAAAAATCAAGATTCCGCAGAATTATGACAGCGTGGAAAAAAGTATGTCTACAGTATACTTGAAGATCTTATCTATGCCTCTCTGTGCATTTGTTGTTCTGTGATAACCCAACCTCCAATGAATTAATTGATAAAAAACACAGGCAATATAATGCATACCGAAAATGATGATACTGCTTGAGTTGAGGTATTGGCTTGAAGTACTGCAGAAACGTTCCAGTCATAGAAAATGACTGGATTGGGGATCCTCTACAAGCTAATATTATGGTTATTCCTAGATGAATGACAACAGATTTGGCCACTTCCTCAAGATTCTCTGCAGTTTTCGCCATTTCACCTTCCAGAGCCCAAAATGCCAGTCGGGATGAAACTTTGTGTGGCCTGCCTCCATCAGAGAAAACTCAATGGTCATATGTCTGCCGGTCATAACTCGCCACATCCCATATCTACAAGACATTCTTTTAAAATAAAATTCAAAAGAGACAAGATCTCTAAATGCACTTCTAAAAGAACTTCATCATGAAACTAAACTAATAAAAGAGAGCAAATGAATTGAAAATAATTTTGCCAGTGTATTTCATTACATGTACCACATGTAAACATGGATGTATTTGACATGAAGACACCTATTGTATTAATTTTGCAAAAATACCACCCGCACAAATTGTAGTTAATATATAGACAGTTGGATTGGAAATACATACCCAATAACAGTGTTGTTTTTATTTTGACCAGTGCAGTTGTCCATATGGAGTTGTAAATTCATTTCTCCATAACCTTTAAGTTGAAAATGGTGGTGAATCATACTGGCAACAGAGTTTGCCCCCTTTCCAGAATGCTGAGACTCATCAATCAAGTAAAATATCTGTGATCCTGGATAAAAGTTCACAAAAAAATGTTTGCACTGAAAAAGCTATTCTTTTACTTCAATTTTTTTTTTTATGAAAGGGTGCATTTCTAAAAATGTAATTTTAAATTTACAGGTTGCATGTATTAGCCAATTAAATGCACTGCCTAGTCTGTTTTATAAATTAAATTTGTTAGACTAGTAGTAGTATACTTGTACATGAATCTATAAATTTTATTTTCTATCATTGAACTAAAAGAGTAATGCTAAAAAATCAATTAGACTATTGTAGTCTTGTGTTTGACGTTCTAAAAATTACCTGAACCCTCTGAACAGATTCCAAAACACTGGCATTTCCGTGGGGTTTTGAAGAACAAAGGACCAACGTGTTGCGCATAATGTGCATAATCAAAACTGTAATGTTGAGTTCCCTCCAAAGAACAGATGGGCTGACCTGGGGAAAATATCAATAGCCAATTGATTAAGAAAAATCACTAATTTAACAGAACTAATGTATAAATGATCAACTAATTTCAAACAATATTACTTGAATCATATAATAAATTGTTACCTCTGGTTTTTCTCTCATTTGGAAAAAAAAAGTTTTAGAAACTTCACATTGCCTTCTGTAATAAATCTTTGATTTTTACATGAGCTGTGTATTTCTCAAGATGTTGCTCCTTTTCCTCTTCTGTCATATTGCCACCATGAATCAGGATATTCGCATAGGATTGGCATTTATAATATAGGTCTGTTGAAGGCTTGCTAATTAGAACATGTGGACATGTATTCAGCCAAACTCTTTTAAATTCTGACAAACATATCTTTCTTAAATGTAGACTCTCTGCAACTAACAAATAGTCCTGATGTATATCAGCTTTTGTCTTATCAGAGGGCAACACTATAGCTCTACAATCTCTGTAGTTCGGCAGTCTTCCTGGTAATGGTAAACCAAACTTGTTTCCATAAGATGTTAGAAAATCTTTTACAGATTGAACATCATTTACAGTGAGGGCATGCTTTGGATGTTTACCAATGTTTCCATGGATTCTAGGAGCGAGTCCATCCTTATCAAGGGAACGAGCAAGCACGTCCACCGTCTTCCTATAAACTCCATGGCAAAACGCAAATGTTTCTCTACACACTTGATGTCCATTAAAAAAATATTCTTGTCTAATTCTCTCCCTTTCTTTTGATCTATGTTTCTTTGCACTAGTCACTTTGTCATTTCGGCGATGGTGAAATAATTGCACTTTGATCATCATATCTAGTTCCTCCTTGTTCATTTCCAGGCACGTGTTTCTGTATTCAAGCAAAGATTCTAAATCGACGACCTCACTACATGGTTTTCCGTAGAGTCGAGAACAACCGCAGTTTTAGAATTAAACTTTTGAAATTGGTCAATTTCAATCTACCTCACTCTGCTCTATTGGTATTAAACATTCCTATTTCTCCATCGCTTTCATTTTCGTCAGAGCTCTCTGCGTTATCAGAGTGATATTCTGCGACATCCGATGTGTTTGACAAGTTTCCAAAATATAGGTCATTCACTCGATTTATTTCGTTTACAAATTCTTCATCTTCGTTTTCTACTATTTCCGGGGGGAACTTGCATTAGAAACTGCACTTGACTGGCTTAGTTGGCTGCAGCTTTCCATTCCGGCGATTCTAAGGTTTAAACATTTCTCGAGACGCCATGATTGTTTACACCAACAACTCGGAAACTAAACATATGCTAAAGAAGAGTTAGTCTTACGGGGAATAACTCTAAAACTTTCAATAATATTTAAATCAAAATAAGATCGATTTTCTTATTATTTTTGTTTATATAAAAAAAGTCTTTAAACATTACACAATCTAAATTCATCCTGCAATTATTTTAACAAGTGCGCGAAATTCACGCTTTTTTGTAAACGTTGATTGTGACGTTTTTTTCATTATTACGTTTTGCCGCATTTGGGCCAAAAATCTCATGGCGAGTCACATATACTGTACAGTGTATATTAAATTTTTAGGGCAGTCTATGATGCTGGTGATATGGAGGCTAGATCCATCATGCACCTGGCCAGTTGTTACGCAGGAATTGGATTTGGAAATTCCGGATGTCATTTGTGGTAAGATTAAAGATTTTAAATATAATCTCTCACACCAAGGGTATTCCTTTTTTATCCTTTTCAGTCTTCATAAAAATATTCCTCATTTAATGTCAAGGGTTTGTCATGTTCTAGTCAATGCTCATAATTTTCCTCATTTTGATTTAACAGCTTTTAATAATAAGTATTACAGTTATGATTAATGAATCTTAATCTTACATTTCCCTCTCTTTTTCAGTCATGCCATGTCTTACCCTATCTCTGGTCTTGTTAAATCCTACATGTCTAAAGGATATGATGATGATCATCCAATGATGATGTATAGAATTATGAAAGGCAAAGAAATTTTATAATCATTTCAAGTTTTTTTTATATATAATATATGGCTCAAATGAATATTTTGAAACATTGTTTTAATTGCCATGTACACTTCAGATTTGTTAACCTTGCATCCTAAAATTATATTTTTCTAAGACCAAAGCGGCGTGGTTATAAAATCAGGTATGTGTTATATTTTTGATTTTAAATGTTACTTTTTTTCTGATTCTAAATACTCTGTCATTTAACAACAGCTTATATACATATCCATAAAGCAATTTTCTAGGCAGCACAATATGTGCAAAAGAATTCAATAAAATTTTATTTTCAAGGTCCAATTGAAACAAAATAATATAACGAAGATGGTTTGTTCCTTTATTAATTGGACAGTCATTGCAGTCATGCAAAATGTCGAGTACCAAATCTCTAGGTTTTTTAAATCTATATGTCTGCATATACATGCATATCTTATAAATTTTACATTTTCCTTTTGAATCTTTCCAATTTTGAATCTTGGATAAGGTAAACTGAAGTAAAAGCCCACTGATATTCAACTTCAGGTGTGGATACAACAAACAAGAGGAAGGAGGATGCTGGTCTTATCTTGGCTGACCGACTGAGACAGATCATGCAGGACCTGGAGATGCCAGATGGACTGTCCAGTCTAGGATATACCAAGGATGACATTCCTAACCTAGTCAAAGGAACAATGCCTCAGGTAAGACATTCCTAACCTAGTCAAAGGAACAATGCCTCAGGTAAGACATTCCTAACTTAGTCAAAGGAACAATGCCTCAGGTAAGACATTCCTAACCTAGTCAAAGGAACAATGCCTCAGGTAAGACATTTCTAAACTAGTCAAAGGAACAATGCCTCAGGTAAGACATTCCTAACCTTGTAAAAGGAACAATGCCTTAGGTAAGACACCCCTTACCAAGTCAAAGGAACAATGCCTCAGGTAAGACATTCCTAACCTAGTCAAAGGAACAATGCCTTAGGTAAGACATACCTAACCTAGTCAAAGGAACAATGTCTCAGGTAAGACATACCTAACCTAGTCAAACAAACAGTGTCTGGGGTAAGACATTCCTAACTAGAAGGAACAATACCTCAGGTAAGACATTCCTAACCTAGTCAAAGGAACAATGCCTCAGGTAAGACATTCCTAACCTTGTCAAAGGAACAATGCCTCAAGTATGACATTCCTAACCTAGTCAAAGAACAATGCCTCAGGTAAGGCATTCCTAACCTAGTCAAAGGAACAATGCCTCAGGTAAGACATTTCTAACTTATCAAAGGAACAAGACTCAGGTAAGACATTCCATACCTAGTCAAAGGAACAATGCCTCAGGTAAGACATTCCTAACCTATTCAAAGGAACAATTCCTCAGATAGGACACTCCTAACCTAGTCAAAGGAACAATGCCTCAGGTAGGACATTCCTAACCTAGTCAAAGGAACAATGCCTCAGGTAAGACATTCCTAACCTAGTCAAAGGAACAATGCCTCAGGTAAGACATTCATAATCTAGTCAAAGGCACAATGCCAAAGGAACAATGCCTCAGGTAAGACATTCCTAACCTAGTCAAAGGAACAATGCCTCAGGTAAGACATTCCTAACCTAGTCAAAGGAACAATGCCTCAGGTAAGACATTCCTAACCTAGTCAAAGGAACAATGCCTCAGGTAAGACACATTCAAAAGAACAAGCCTCAGTTAAGATATTCCTAACTTATCAAAGGAACAATGCCTCAGGTAAGACATACCTAACATAGTCAAAGGAACAATGCCTCAGGTAAGACATACCTAACCTAGTCAAAGGAACAATGCCTCAGGTAAGACATTCCTAACCTAGTCAAAGGAACAAATGTAAGACACTCCTAATCTAGTCAAAGGAAAAATGCCTCAGGTAAGACATTCCTAACCTAGTCAAAGGAAACAATGCCTCAGGTAAGACATTCCTAACTAGTTAAAGGAACAATGCCTCATGTAAGGCATTCCTAAGCTAGTCAAAGGAACAATGCCTCAGGTATGACATTCCTAACCTAGTCAAAGGAACAATACATCAGGTAAGACATTCCTAACCTAGTCAAAGGAACCATGCATCAGGTTAGACATTCCTAACTTAGTCAAAGGAATAATGCCTCAGGTAAGACATTCCTAACTAGTCAAGAGAACAATGCCTCAGGTAAGACATGCCTAACCTAGTCAAAGAAACAATGCCTCGTAAGACATTCCTAACCTAGTCAAAGGAACAATGCCTCAGGTAAGACATTCCTAACCTAGTCAAAGTAACAATACATCAGGTAAGACATTCCATACCTAGTCAAAGGAACAATGCCTCAGGTAAGACATTCCTAACTGAGTCAAAGGAACAATGCCTAAAGTAAGACATCCCAAACCTAGTCAAAGGAACAATGCCTTAGGTAAGATACACCAAGGATGACATTACTAACCTAGTCAAAGGAACAATGCCTCAGGTAAGACATTCCTAACCTAGTCAAAGGAACAATGACTCAGGTAAGGAAAACAATGTCTCAGGTAGGAAGCTATTCTGAATTCAGGTAGGAAGAACATTACCTTGGCTAAGAAGATATCAGGATAGAGTAATGTATTACATTTTTAAAGCAACAAATAACTTTTTTCTTCAAAACTTGTAATCCTGAACTTAAAGTTTTAAGCATCAAATTGTTCAAAAATTAATATCTTGAACTGAATTTAACCAAGAAAAAGTCTGAAGGTTTGAGATTTTGTGGAAAAGTTTATCAAAGAGAAGTTTGTGAGAATTCAGAATAGCTTCAACAATCCATAATTTTAAAGATATCAGTTTTGAGATACAAATTTCACTTTATTAGAATCTGTAGCATTTTCTGTATTTGCTCAATAAAAACATTGACCTTTTTTGGAAATTGCAGAGTCAAACTTTTTCACCAAATTATTTTATTTATTTCTCTTACAGCATCGGCTGACAAAGCTTTCCCCTCGTCCTATAACTGAGGAGATAATAACAGGAATATTGGAGAAATCCATGAAAAACTACTGAGCATTTACAGTATAATGTAACACAGAGATAGGCATCCTTCAATGTGTAAAGGTTTGACAGTGAATGAAGGGGCTGGAAAATCTCAGGGTAATGGAAATCTGGAGTTGTGAATATCCATAACAAATGATTCTAGAGGACCAATTATACTAAACAACGATTAATTTATGTATAGTAAACTTACTTGATAAAAGTAAGGGAATATTTTTAGAGATAAAGGAAATGAGAGATTTCTGTTGTGCAGATTGTACTCATTAATTTCTGATGGTCTTTTTTGTGCATGCTGTATTTTTTATGTCTATTATTAATCTTATAGCAATATATTTTTATTATATATTGGTGCTACCTAATAAATATGTATGAACAGATTGTGTAAATTGTATCTTTATATTGTAAACACCTTTCAATCATTTGTGGCAGCCCTATCATATCTTTTAATCTGTCTTTCAATCCATGAATTTCATATACTAAACTTTTCCTTCACTTTTAAAATTCCCTAAGATTGTTGCAGCAGTTACATTTTACATTTGCATTAAGCTCGAGTTACAAAAAAAATTATATGATGATGTATTTCGTACAATTTGCAGAAAAGAGCAGTGTAGGAAAGCCAATGACCGTAATATAGTTTACAGTCATTAAAATGTAACATTTGTATGCATATCTGTGCAAATCTGCTGAAAATTGAATGTACACTTATGAAAACTTGCTATTGGTGATTGTAACTTACTTGAACTTTGAAAATAAAGCTGTAGTTCGATCTCAAAGTTTTTTTTAGAATGATGACTCTACAAAACATTAAGATGGCTGAATTTTTGGTTTTTCAATGAAGTGACCGTAATTTATGGAATTTAATGTGTTCTCTTTTCTGTAGTATGAAATATCTGATGTTTTCCATCTAAAATAATACAGGGCGCCGTTTTGGTATTTATTGCCAAGAGTGATATCACCTATTCGAATGGGTGATATCACTTATTCAGTTGGTGATATCACCTATTCAAATAAGTAATATCACCTATTCAGATTTTGAATAAGTGATATCATATATTTTCCAAAGGTGATATCAGAATTAGAATAAGTGATATCACCTATTCGAAAAATATCATCTATTCTAAAATATTATATTTATACTTCTAGATGTACAAAAAAACCTCTAAAGTGTAATCCGCGATATCACAATTGAATCAGTTTTACCAAACACAAAAATATATATCATATAGAAATGGCAAAAAAGAAAAATTTGACACTCAATGGAACGGGTGGAACCAACTTTTTCTATAACTCTCTATCTCTTCTCTTTCTCTCTCTCTCTCTCTCTTCTTCCCCCGCCCCCTCTCTCACTCTCTTATATGTAAAAATACACAATTCTTTAACAAAGATTTTTAATGTTTCTGTATGAAATGAATTCCGTTGTGTTAAAAAAATAAATATAAAAAAAAAGACAAACATTAATAACAAGATGTGTTTGTAGATACCCCATATGGCAGCTCATACCCCAGGCTAAAGGTTTCTCAAATGCAAGTCAAGGTCAAGAGATAAAGAAAAAGTTTTGCAAAAGTAGGTCAAACTCAAAAGTCAAAGATAAAAAGTCAAAATGTTGGTACCCAAAGGAGAGTCATGTCATAAGTAAAATGAAAACCCTTGCAATAACTGCTTGAATCTTATGTTCAAGTTTTTCAAAAGTAGGTCAAACTCCTTGGTCAAAAGTCAAAGTAAATGGAATGGCCTTATTACTAGTAATTCACCTCTGAAATATGAAAACTGTAACACTAGCTATTGCTGAGCTATGGTCAAGGTTATAATGGTTTTTTTTATAGTGGATCAAATTGTGTCAAACACAAAGGTCAATGTCAAAGAGTCAAAATTGTTGGTACCCAAGGAAAAGTCTTGCCACAAGAAATGCACATATGAAGTATAGAAATCATTTAAAAGTTATGGATCATTTAAAATTTGATAAGATATGGCAAAAGTCAAGCTTCAAGGTCAAGATGTCACATGTTGGTACCAAAGAAAGGACTAGCTAGGACATGGAATACACTCATGAAACATAACGCCATAACTTTAAGCAATCAAAAAGTTATGGTAAAGCTTAACGTTTTTGTGAACAAACAGACAGATGGACGAACAGAGCAAATATTACCGGGTATTTGCCCCAATTTTTCGATATACAGAAGCAAAAAAATTGTTTGAACAGTGTGAAAAGGGTTACATTATTCAGTATTTCACAATTTACCTTTTACATTTACGCCTTCATCCTCAACTCAACCCCAAACCCCTTTGTCCCATCCATCGATTGGCTGACTGCTTACGAATAATTTTTATGCGCCCAAATCAATATAAGGGCCATATTGTTTTTGTCCTGTCTGTTTGTCTGCAAACTTTAACCTTCGCCATAACTTTTGAACCATGAAAGATAAAAACTTCATATTTGGTATCACCGTCGGAAACCCACGGCTGATTACGCTTCGTTCCGATGATGATTTGGTTTGCGTACTCCACTAATTAAGTTCTTTCAAATGACACCAAGGTCAATGACCTTGTGACCTTAACTGTGACATATATGCTAAAAATAGCTTTTTTGTCTGTAAATTTTTACATTTGCCATCACTTTTGAACCGTAAAAGATAGAGACTTCATATTTGATATGCATATACTCCACTAATTAAGCTCTTTCAAATGACACCAAAGTCAATGACCTTGTGACCTTGACTGTGACTTATATGCTAAAAATAGCTTTTTGAACCTTCACCTTAACCTTTGGACTCTGAGAGATCTACTAGACTTCATATTTAGTCAGCGTACTCCACTTATTAAGCTCTTTCAATTGACACCAAGGTCAATGACCTTGTGACCTTGACTGTGACCTATATGCTAAATATAGCTTTTTTCGAACTTTGTTGCCGCCAGGTGCATAGTGTTTTACAAACACGTCTTGTTCAATTCTTCTTTTGATCTTGCAGACAGTACAGTATTTAATCCCCTGCAGCGATATGAATCTTAGAATGGATAAAACGCACTATAAAAGACAAAGTTTGGTTACTAAGTACCAATGCCTTTTTACACGAACCCTATAGAATGACATAGAGAGTCTAGCTCTTGAGCAGCACTTAGTTAATAATTTCCCGTTATGCATTAATTTCGATCATTTAATACACCTGTAAAACAATCAGGTTTTATTATCATTTAATAAGGCTAAAGTATATAATAACTGGCTGATTTTATCACCACTGTTAATGTAATTTATGGTAAAAACATCGGTCTTAATTGATTTCACAGTTTATAATCAATTTCGTAAATACCTTTTTCTCAGTAAATGTTCTGAATAGTTTTAAGTCATTATATGCAGAATGATGATTGCGCACCATTTTTTGCTGGTAGCCTCCTTTGGATGTTTCATTAAAGTAAGATATGTATTGTTTAATGCATATTTTCATTTGATAATGACATGTGTCGCTGTTTTTATTAGCAAAAATATTAAATGAAGTTCACAATAGATATTTAATTACGTAATACTAAGTAATACCTTTTTTTTTTAGAAACTAGGTGCATTAAAATGCCACACACCGAAAAAAAAACCTTTGAAACATTTTCAGTTGAATCTAATTAGTAGAGATCGAAATAGCTGCAGATCTGTATATTTGACTTTAAAAAATGGGGAGCTAAGGTAGAAATTCTTTTCAGGGATCTGAGTATGACATTCACTTCTCTGCACCGACAGGTAATGTATTCTTCTACTATCCATATGATTATTTAACATTTATCTATGCAGTGCGTACTTTTTTGATTTTAAAATTTATCCCCCCCCCCAGATGATCCATGTACCAGGGTCCGATGTGCCCGGGGAGTGTGCGAGTCTCTGTATCAGTCCGCCATCTGTCGGTGTCAGGAGGGATTCTGGGGATATCGTTGTGAACATCAAGGTAAGAGAGCATATATTTTTGTTATACTAATTTTTCTAAAGAGGCCGAAAGGTTGTCGGATAATAAAATTTACATTTAAATAATATATATATTTTCCCAATGTTTAGATCTACACACTGGATATATCGTACAAATTACTGGTAACTTAATATAATAATTCCGTAGAGGAGATAATCTACAGAGATAATTTACATTAAGGTTTTTCCACCCTAACAATTTTAATGGTTCAAAGTACAAAAATTGCATTTACATTCATTTAAAATAGTTTTTTAAAAATACTAATAATTGCAAAAAATGTATAGGTCGCCAAATTATTTAGGATAGGAGACATAAATAAACAGAAGTGTATGTCAACATAAAAAATATACATTTTTGGTAAATATTATGATAAAAATTATGTAAAAACTGGATCAAATGCATAATCCTGATGCTGAAAGTGAAATATACAGCTGTACTTACTACTCCTATTATAATTTTGTTTCAAAAAATAAGGGAAGGCAAAATTTTACAATGAAGAAGTACAATAAAGAAAATCTTCATTTCAAAAAAGGAGTCATTGTCCTTGTCATGCAACATTTTTTTAAAGATTGAATAATTGATTAAAATAGAAAATAAACTTTTTTAAAATTCTTTCACTTAACAATATTTATCATGACACCTTTTGAAAAGCGTTCTTATAAAAATTACTGTTTATTCTTTTCAACGCATTGACAATTATTCCATTTTTACCTCAATTGTACAATCAATATTAGTTTCATTTGTTTTTTTGTTTTTTTTTTTTATTTTATCTGTTGTCATTTTCCATTGAAAGTTTTATATTGCCATTTTTATTCCACACAATTTAAAGTACATTTTTTTTTCATTTTTTTGATGTTCTGCATCAATATTTTACAAAGGAAAGATAGTCATTTATTTAGGTAAGAGTTATCTCTCTTGTCAAAGGGTCAGTGAACCTTAATACTTGTGTCCTCTACTCCAGGGGTGGACAGCGTCTCTACCTTCTGGGACTACCTGCCGTTACAGGAGGAGGCCTTCCTGACGGGGTCTGTCACGATCGAGAAGGCGTCAACAGACCCCCGCTGTCAACGGGGGTCATTCCAGGGACCACTTCACAGAAGAGCCGCCATCAGCGTAAATATATATAATAGTAAAAGAGAAAGGGGGTATCTAATTCTGGTATTTCCTATGTAGAGTATTAAACTGATATTGGTGAAAATTGGTATACGAGTTGGTAGTACAAGTGCTCCTACATTGGTTAAATATTACCAAGTGGAGTTAATGACACTATATTTATAGATATATTTTATTTCTGAATATGGATCGAATGTGCGAAAACGTGCACGTGTATAAAAGCTAAATTTATTTAGAGGAGCTAAGATATATAATGTTCAAATATAAATACGTGGACTTGTTTTATATAAAGAAGTGAAAATATTTTTTTTTTTAACTTCTTCACAGAAAAGTGAGAGATTTGAAAACGCTAAAAAGAGATGGACAGAGAGGCGTGTTCGAAGACAGCAGTCTGTAACTAGATGGTCAGATTTTTTTTGTGGCTTATCCATATAGATAACACTTTTATATACATACTAAAATAACCCCCATATTTACATGTAATTTTATCATGCATGCTATTCCTTTTTTGTGTTTTAACAAAAATTACTTCTATAAGCATTTCCAGAAAGGAAAATGTAAAAGTGGATTGAGCGTCCTCCTATGTATTTGGGAAAATCTCGACTGAATCCGTATCTCCTAACCTCATTTACCACTGAATAACCCCATCTAGCAGGAAACGGAATCGGTCAGATTATCCGCTTGCTCCAGTCTTTTTTTTTTATAGCCTTCTTTGGAACATCGAACTTTTTTTTCTCTTTTTCAGTGAAATAGGAATATCTGGTTAAAAGAAAATAGAGAGCCGTACAATGATGGATGAGTTTACAGGGTGGATGCTTTTAAAATAAATTGTAGTTTCCAATATTGACTATTGTTGTTTTATTATTAAAATGAAAAGTGATAACACCGATTTTTTAAATATCAAAATCAGCAACACGTCTCTTATAGGAAAAAATGAATGATATTGTCACATACACAGCAAAAGTAGATCGATTATTTGAGGTTTTGTAAAATTGTCATAAAAAAAATGTACAAAATTTCAATAGATTTATAGCTTAAAGCTACATACCCGTACACCAAAGAGTACGTTATTTCTTTATATTTTAAAAATTTCTACATATACTCTCCATCTCAACCCATGCATTATATATAATAAGTACTGTTAAAACAATCTTTAGAAATGGTCCATCATCATAGTAAACCGGCCGGTCAGTGTAGGACATAATATATTTCTGATTTAACAGTAGTACATTCTGTCTAAGTATACATGTAAAATGTATAATTTCTTTTCAGTGGTAGTGTATTCATCCTTGAGGTACATCTTGTTTTTGACAAAATACTTTGAACTTTGAAACATAGTCAGGAGGGTCTACAGCGTGATTTATAGTATGCAATTCAATCTTTAGATTCTAAAAATCAACAGCCAAGTACTTAAAAAAGGAACATTTACATTCAAAAAGTAATAGTAATGAATGTACCCACACTAGTACTAGATTTTTTCAGTTGTAATACTTTGTGAATATGTCATAGAAAAAAAACAGGTGGGGGTGTTCCCAAACACCTGTGCATTCTATACGACCATTTCCTTTAAGACTTCAAATTACATTGAATAAAATGCATTAGAATGTACAAAATGAAATATTTTTCATGAAAAATTTCATTTTGAGAAAGTATGTAGTCGTTATGGTATATTCCGGAATTATATTTGCCACTATTACAACGTTGAAAATTGGTTCACCTGGCAAACATCCCGTTTGTGCTGAAAACCGCGGGAGATATTTTTAGCAGAGATGGGGCCAAAACCAACCCCGTCTAAGAAGGGAAACACACTTTTTTCGTATTTTACGAAAAGTCCAGCGGCGGCGAAGAATACTCAGCCAAATTTGAATGGATCCGATGTGTTGTCACAGAAGAAATCACCCAACAAAACGGACGAAGCAACACCTGCAAAACAGGCGAAAAAACAAGCTGAGACCCAAAGTATTTCATTATTTTAAGATTGTTTTTAGTTAAAGCAATATGGTTATGAAAGTGATAGGACAAATATTTAAGATAAGGAAAATGAAAGGGCAAACACTGCCGTCTTTTAAGTTTTTTCTACACCGATGAGTCGATGACACTGATATTTTGGATACTGTCAACTTCTTCATAACTTTGTATGGGTTTCTTCAGTATTCTTTTAAAAATGTATTGATTAGAAGATATGTTAACCATTAAAAGGCTATATTTTCACTTCATATAATCATGTACCTTTGGTGCTCAAACCAGGTCCAGCACAATACCCCGATAAAGGTATATACCTTGATAAAGGTATATAGCTTGATAAAGCTAGAAAGCTTTATCAAAAAAATTCTTTAAAAATTAATTACTGAAAGTCTAGTTCTGAGTTGTTGTCAGTAAATTCACCCATGCTTGTAAAGTACTCAAACACAAACAAATCAGTATAAAAACGTGTCGTGTGAGGAGACGTTATTTTATGCTTTCTTTTTGATACTAGAGTGTTTTTCATGCACGAGAAGACACACTGACAAAAACTCAGAACTCGACTTTCAGTATTTAATTTTTAAAGATTTTTTTTTAATTTTCATTACATAAAATACCTTGATCAAGGTATTTTAAATACCTTGATAAAGCTATATAGCTATATCAAGCTATATACCTTTATCGGGGTATTGTGCTGGACCTGCAAACTGTCTAACTGAAGTAAAGATATTTAAGAATGAAACACAGAGAATTCAACAAGTTGATTTTGATTACAGGTTTTGCTGAGGGTGATATTGTGTGGAGTAAATTGTCAGGCTATCCCTGGTGGCCATCACTTGTCTGTTCTCATCCAACAGAAAATACCCATATCAAAAAGGGCAAGAACCCACAATTACATGTCCAGTTCTTTGACACACCACCAACAAGGTCATGGATCAAAGCAAAGTAAGCAAAGATTATGCAAATTATTTAGATAAGAAAGAGATTTTAGAATGTCAGATTTGTAACATTGACTGAAATTATAAAAAAATAATCATGACCTAATTCAAGAGCCCTGTATTGTATATTATTAAAGGCTATAAATAAAATTTGGTGTCTTAATAAAATTGGTCGGGCTACTTACTATGCAGCTGAATAGGGAGTGATGCAGCAAAAATTGTTGATCATCCCAACAAAGTTCAATGCAATCTTCCTCATCTACTGATCACTGCAATCATGAATCCATTTGTTGTAATCATACATCAGTGTGTTCTTGAATTGCAAACAAGCAGCAGATCAAAACACACTGAAATATCAATACTGGTAAAATAAGTTCATTGCAATATATTTGTTAATTATGTAAAAAAAAAAAAATCTATACTCTGGGAATATTTTGAAATCTTGGTTGATTTAAAATTTTCCGATTCCTGTACCCCTTGCAGTAATGTGATGCCTTACCATGGCTCAGATCACGAGGACTATAAGAAAGGTGGAAAATGTTACTCCCTCAATCCTAAAGTGAAAAAGGGAACAGAGGAGGCAGATAAAGCCCTGAAATTATCTGTGGAGGAGCGACGAAAACTAGTGGTGGATCTACAACCATCCAGTGATGAGGAGGAGGAAGAGGAAATGGAATATGAAGGTAAACAGTCAGGAGTGGATCAAAGAATTTTGATTTGTAATAAAGATATGTTGCATATTTTAAGTATCAAACCTGAGAGAAATAGAATAAATTACCGTTTTAATCTATTGGATAAAACAGAGGGTGGTGAAAGTGAAGAAAATGAAGCTGACAACAGCAAGGAAAACAAGGAAGAAGACTCGGTATGTTTCATATTCCACTACTGATATCTGCCATGGAATAGTCTACTTCAGCTCACTGCTACAGAAAAAATATGTTATATAGAAAACATCACTAAGAAAATATATTTGGTTGTAAGACCATTTTCCCTATAGTTTCTGCAAACAATCGCTCTTAAAAATGACAAAATTATTTTTGTATTATGGCTACATATATATTTTTAATTTACCCCTTCATATTGAAGACGATGTTTAAATTTTTTTGATAAGAGAGAGATTTTTTTTAAAAAAGAAATCCAAACGGAGAACAAGTAGGAGACCGACCAAGAGGCGGCGGATCATTAGTGCCAGTGACAGCGGGGAATCAGGTGAGGATTTTCTAACTTTACTGGTTATGCAAGTATGAGACTTAAGCTGTGTGATCTGGTAAAGACAACAACAATTTAAATGCATGTATTTTGAAATAGATTCAAAAAAAAATTTGGTTGTTACTTTTGGTCATTTTGTAAAATAATTTTTTAATTGTTTTAAACAGATGATGATTTCAAGCCCCATTCTGATGCAGAATCATCTGATGATGCCAGCAGTGGTGTGAACGAAGAGGAGATATCAGAACCTGAGTCAGAATCAGAAATTGATTCCCCAGTAAAGGTATGTGTTGTTATGCTCACTATCCCCAAACAGTGATGGGCGAAGGGGTCGGGGATATGGCATTCACTTTGTATGATATCTTTTGTGGGGAAACTGATTAATAAAAAAGTTTTCAAAAGTCCAAATTCATGATTAGACATATCCCAGAATATTGAATTTCAGTATAAAGAGATCGTTGCAATTTTCATAGATACTTTTAGATAGTGCTTTCTTTATTATAAAAATATATTGCTAAAAAGACTTACAAATTTATAGAAATCAAAGAAAGCAGAGCCTCCCACAAGAAAGAGGAAGAAACCAGAGAAGAACACCAAGCCATGGCGACCGACGGCCAAGGAGAAGGCTGACTCAGATGAGGAGCCTGTAAAGGAACAAGTCTCTCCCTCCACCAGTCGGCTTCCTGCCTCCTTCACACCAACTGTCGGAGAAAAAACTAAATCCAAACTGGCTTCTTTTGCTGCCCTTGACATAGTAAGTAACAATTTTTAATATACAGTGTAATAATGTATAGAACTTAATTCTTAGATCGCTACTTATGGATTATTTGCAGATGCCAGATGCATGTAATTATAACATTTTCTAAATGACTGGTTCCATGAAAATTGACCAGATTAGACATCAATTTTAACAACTGAATTTACATATAGGGCAAGATTTTGGAATAAACATCATCTGGATTCAGTGTTCGAAATTCGGAATTATTTTCTGTGGGTCCAAAGGACCCACTGATAAAGGGTCTACACAAGTCCTTCCAAGGCAGCATAGGCCCAAAAAATTATACCATATATTTTGGGAAAATAAACTTTAATTGACAATCTTGGTAAGTTTATCGATTCCTTACCAATAAAAAGAATCATGTTATGTAACAAAAAAAATATGTTAAAGTTACTGTAAACATACTTTTTGTTTCCTGTAACATTCAAAAAAAAAAAAAAAAAAAAGGGTCTGTCTGTAGGTTTTTTTTTTGCCTAATGTACGATCTCACATACTGAAGCATAATAAAGTTTCCATTTAAAACATTAATTTTCACTTTCCCTAAATACCTAAATAAAGTGGCCAAATATCCCAGAATTTGAAGTAACCAAGTAATTTTACAGTAGACACCAAACATGGCTGTCTTACGATAGAAAACGAAGCTAAACAAATTGGGGGAGGAAATACTAGATGATATAAAAATTCATCTTCAGATTTGAGTGAAGGTTGACTAGGATGACATATTTATATTTCAACTAAAGTTACAGTTTACATTCTTTATAAAAACTGCATCAGCTGATTGAAACCGGCACAGATATATATGGTAGCACTTTGAATGTGTCGGTCGGGTTATAGGAAAGAAGCATATTTTTTAGGCCTTCTTTCATGGCAAATCATCATCGGCCCAAAATCATTTCAAGGACCCATTTAGTCATACTATACATGAGTCCTTCCGTTTGTACGTCGGCGCAGGACCGACGGACCGACGCTAATTTCGAACACTGTCTGGATTAGACAAATTTTACTACACCGTAGGATTTACATAATGATAAATACTGAATGATTTTCATACTACCATCATTTGCCATGATTTTACATACTACCAAGAGTTGCCATAATTCAACATTTTATTTCAGGACACTAAACCAGTCAAGGGAACAGAGCAGGAGTCCAACTTCCCCCACCTGAAACTGGATTTTCTACAGCCCGAGAAAATCAAGTAAGACACACAGCTAGATGGAATAGAGGAATAAGAAGCACGAGCATCACACACATAGAAGACATTAGCCATAGTTTCAATTTTATTTGTTTGATAATTCATATTTTTTATTCTGTTTGAAAATTTTATTTGAAAGCAGTATTTTATATAGACAGATGTGGTTAATTGTGAACTACATGAAGTTATTTTGCAGTGTGTGTCCATGTGAAAGCTGACATATATGTTCTGTTTTACTGATCCATAATAATTTGGGATATGCCTGGAAATAGGAAAACATGTATATGAAGTTTTTTATACAGGTGTACATTGATATGCATGAATATCATGACAGGGATGGTAAGAAGAAGAGCAAGACTGACCCAGATTATGATCCGAAGACTTTGTATGTTCCAGATTCCTTCCTCAAGCAACAGACACCGGTAATTATTATCCAAGCACTTACATGTACATGTATCTTCGTTGATATAAAGTAAATTAAAAATACACAAAAGATGCCAGACTAAATTTTTACGATAGTGTGGTCATTGAGTAATATAGTCGACATTAGAACTCACTGCTTTATTTTGGTAGACAGTTTCCAGATGTTCGTATTTTACAGGCTATGAGGCAGTGGTGGGAGTTGAAGTCCAAACATTTTGATGCTGTACTATTTTTCAAGGTTTGATTTGAAAGATAATTAAGTATTCATAAATGTATTGAGAAAAGAAAAAAAAATTCAAGCAAGAGACGTCATCAATAAATTGACCTGTTCGGCTGTGATTCAAATAAAAAATTTCTAGCATAAATAGTTTGCTGTTCCTTTACCTAAGTACTTTAAAGATTTTGAAGTTATTTTTATGCAGAGAAGTTAAAATGATTTTTTTTTTGTCAGATGGGAAAATTCTATGAGCTGTTTCACATGGATGCTGACATTGGTGTGAAAGAGCTAGGACTTATATACATGAAAGTGTGTTGTAAATGCATTTATTTCCATGTTTGTTCCTGCATTAGAAAGATAAAGAAATAATAAAATTAGAATAATTTTAATCTTAACAGGCCTTTTTCTTTGAGTGTATTCTTTTTGTAGATGTATTTGTGAAGGTTAGTTTGAAAGTGAATTTTAAATTTTTTAGGGAGAACAGGCTCACTCTGGCTTTCCTGAGATTGCATACAGTAGGTATGCTGATCAGCTTATACAGAAAGGTTACAAGGTCGCGAGGATCGAGCAGACCGAGACCCCTGACATGATGACAGAGAGGGTCAAAAAAAGTAAGTACAGACCAAGACACCGGACATGATGACAGAGAGGGTAAAAAAAAAGGAAGTACAGTAAAACACGGTTATAGCCAACACGCTTATAATGAATTCATGCTTACAACGAAGGTATTGTCCATCCCAGTTGTTAAGTTAAAATATATTTAAATCTTAATAGATACATGTATAGCGGATAAGGTTACAGCGTATCAAATTTGTATGTCCTTTGCACATCACTATGATCATGTTTTACTTTACATGTATGCTTCTCTATTATGAAAAAAATTATGAATAGGAAAATTGCTGTACTTGTATATCATATTAGAACTCAGCTAAAATAAATAAAAATATGGGAAATTTTCTGATTAGAAAAATCAAAATGATGGTCCTTTTAACAACAAAAATGTTCAATTCATAGCTGTCAAAAAGAAATTTTGAAATGTATTTGATTTATACATTATGTATTATAAGATATCTTCTGATTTGTGATCATGATTTGCTTGTTATACTTGACAGTGGGTCTCCCTCCCACCAAGTTTGACAAAGTGGTGAAGAGAGAGGTATGTCGCATCACCAGTAAGGGGACCCAGACATTTAACGTGATGGACGGGGATATTGCTGAGGCCTCCAGTAGTTATCTGTTGGCTCTCTGTGAAAAGGTGGGTGTATGAAAATTCACGTGACACTTACATGTACATGTATTGTGTACTGGCTCTGTGAAAAGATGGGATTTGGGAGTGACATTTCATATAACATTAACATATCTTTTATTTGCAACGACTTTATTTCGCGATTTACCGGGGGTAAACTAGTTTGCGACAATTAATTTTCATGATCAAGCATTTTTTTAGATGTTGTTAATATAAAGAGAGACTACAACAACTGGTTTGTGGCGAGAATTATTCGCAATGACAAGGCTCTTGCAGACCTCGCGAAAATTTCTTGTACATGAATAAAAGTTGGTTTACAGTATTATCTACTGGTTCACTGAGAAAAGGTGTAAATTAGTTGTGTTACAATCAAAATTAGGTTCTTGAAGTTGCAGTTAGAAATTCTTTAGTTCTACAGAATCAAATTGTGTTTCTCATATTACATGTATCTTTTACCAGGATTGACTTACTAACATCAAACTTTGTTGCATTTTATAGCAGCTGCTGCGATAATACTGTAAACCTATTACATTTAGCTGTGTATTCTTTTTAGCGCCTTTCACGGAAAGAAACTTCCGCTAAATCAAGTACACCGCTAAATGACTTGCTCATTTATGCATGAAAAAGAACATCAAGAAATGCGCTAAATCAAATCTACGCTAACTTGTTTAAAAATCACTTTCCGCTAAATATCGTACACACGCTAAATATAATACATTTACAGTATATCAGGGTTATCGAGTACATGTAATTTATCATCATCTGTTTTCCTGAATGGATGCATTTCCATACCACAGATTCTACTTCAAATTATATTTTTCTGTTCTTCATACTTTGTTCAGGATGATGGACAATTTGGACAGAGTACTTATGGTGTGTGTTTTGTTGATACAACGATAGGAAAATTTCAGGTAAGTCTAATAATGTGACAAAAAATGGATATTCTGTCAAAGTACTTTTATACCTGAAGATGATTTATTTAAGTGCCATTGGAATGGTGTAATACTGAGTAAGCATTGAAATATCCAGCTGTCAGTACATGTACTTTGCTGTAAATATATGTTTGTGATTATCACAGATTGGACAATTCACAGATGACCGGTACTGCTCTAGACTTCGGACACTGATTGCTCACTTCACACCTGTACAGGTAAAGAAATATCTGTTTAAATCGGATATAATCGCAGATAAGTTTTAAATTGAGTTAACTGACAAATTACAAATGAAAGTTGTTGCAAATACTAGTTGATGTACAGTTTCCGATTATTACATTCCAGTATGTGAATGTTTGTTTTGATAATTAGTGAAAAATTAAGATGTGCAGGACATTTGAAGAAAAGAAATCATATTGAAACTGAATCAGAAATAAAATACAGTCAAACTTGTTTTAAGAGGCCACCTTTGGGAAGTCTGGAAACTGGCCACTTAAGACAGGTGGCCTCTTATTCCAGTTTGTCCTCGAAAAAGACATTCGGGCAATGAATAAACAACATTAAGCACTACAGTTAAATTAATTAATAAAATAATAAAACAGGTCAATTTGACAAAGGCTTTTTATGTGTATATATTCAAGCTCATTCAAAAAACAAAGAATTAGATTTTTTAAAAGGTTTTGTGCATTTTTCTGTTCCTACATATTACAGTAGTTAAACAAGTAATACATACAGTGCCTGACTATTATCCTTTTTTATAAAGAAAAAAAATACACAAAAATACAGTTTAATGGTAAATAAAATAAAGCATAGAAATTTAAGTAAAAATGTGTCAATAAAAATTTCACTTACATATGTTAAAAAGTGGTCAGCAGTGTAACACCCCCCCCCCCCCCCAATAAAAAAAATTCATCGGTAATTAAATTAAATACTAAATAATTGAATATTAAAGTTTTTAAAGTCTGGTAAATTTTATTGTTTATAAAGCTGTCAGAATTTCTATGTAACATACACAGACACAGAAATAAAATTAACCAGTTGACCAGAGAGATGTATTGACGCAGTTGAAAATCATTCCATAACACAGGTGTCATATGCAGTAGAGCGTGACTAATCCCTATCGATCATCTGTTGATAGTGAAATTCACGAGATAAGCATGCCACTGAAGCACTTTGTTTTCAGAAGAGTAGCAATTAGGGCTTCTACATGGAATCAAAATCCAAAAGGTGTGAATTTATTTAGGTAGAGGAAAGTATCATATTGTATTTACATTCTTTTTATTTTCAATCAGCGATTTTGAAAAATAATTACAAATTGATCTAACAGGTTTTTTTCATAAACGCAACGCAACATAACACAAACAGAGTTCAGTGTATCTGATAGTAATTTGTTTAATTGCATTAATAGCTAGGTTAAATTGGCTATCGGGACATAATTACCCAAGCGAATGAGTTTAAAAGACATATTAGAATCGCAGCAAGTGACGAAATGGCCACCTATTACAGTGTCAATAAGGCTGTTGGGGGAGGATTTGAGTGGCCGCTGGCCGCGTTACACAGGTGGCCGTTTATTCCAGTTAAAATATTTAAGAAATAAGGTATCATTTTTTGAGTTTTATTGAGATGTAAAACGGGTTGGTCACGTGATCAAATCCCATAAAGCCCGAAGGGCTTTATGGAAGATTTGATCATGTGCCAACCCGTTTTACATCTCAATAAAACTCAAAAAATGATACCTTATTACTTATATTTACATTTGTGACATTCATACTTTATATTTGCCTGATTGTTACTTTTAACGTGTGAAATGCGTTAATTTTTTCAAACCCAACGGCATGTATGTAATCAACTAAACGCGCGTCGACCCTTTATGACGTCACAGAGAAATTACGTCGAACGTTTATCCAAACGCACATCTGTGACCTCTTGACCCCATACCTGTATTTACACAGTTATAAAAACGCTTGCCTTCAGTAGTGTTATATAAAGGAAAACATTTGCAAATGTAAATATATAGGAAAAATCGTCGGGGGGAACTGAAAGTGGCCGCTGATCACGAGTGGCCGTTGATTTCGGGTGGCCGCTAAGACAAGTTTGACTGTAATTCTAATCTTCTAAAGGTACTGATGCCAAGGGGGAAATTGTCTGAAAAAACATCAAGCCTGATCAACAATAACCTGTCATCAGTCATAAAGGAGTATTTACGACCCGAAACGGAATTCTGGGATAGCAGTAAGGCCCTCAAAGTTCTGGCAGAGGAGGAGTACTTCCAGACTGAGGACAACATTGTGTGGCCAGATTGTCTCAAGAAAATGATGTCTGATGGAGACACCATTGGTCTTTGTGCAGCCGAGGAGTATAGTTTAGCTGTGTCTTCACTAGGGGCTATCGTCTGGTATCTTCAATACAGCCTAATGGACCAAGAACTCTTGTCCATGAAGAACTTTGAGGAATATGTTCCTGTGGATTCGGGAGAAACAGCATCTAAAGAGAAGTCAGCGTTCACAAAAAATCAACACATGGTCCTTGACGGCCTGACCCTGAGGAATCTGGACGTGGCAGACATGTATGGATCCCAGGAAGGAACCCTGCTGGCCAGACTAAATCAGTGCTGTACTCCATTTGGTAACATTTTTTCAGAACTTAAAATGTTCTTCAGAATTCAGTGAATTTTTCTTAGTTAATAAGCTAATATGCAAGTTTATTTCAATGATGTTAGAACATGAGAATTTCAATTTGATGTACATTATTTTAAAAGTTCAGAGAGTGCACAGTAATGCAAGTAAATATCATCAAGAGTTGATGATAGAATGGACATTACAGAATGCACTTGCGTAAAATGTTTGCCAGTCAGTGTAACTCAATGTTCCCCTTAGAGTTTCATGTTTCTTGAGGAATTAAATTTCTGCATGCTTACATTGCTTTTCAAGTTATCGTTAGGTGTCAGTGTTTGCTTGATGATTTCAGGTAAAGGGTTGTTTAAGCAATGTTTGATTTGATGATTTCAGGTAAGCGGTTGTTTAAGCAATGGTTGTGTGCCCCTCTGTGTAATTCCACCTCTATTGATGATCGACTTAATGCTGTGGAGGACCTGAATGGGATCCCAGAGGTCATGGCAGAGGTCACGGACATGATGCGGAAGCTTCCGGACCTGGAACGCACCCTCAGCAAGTAAGTCTAAAAATAAATGACAAAGGTTCTATCTGTCTGAAGCATGCTGGTAATTTAGTCACAGACATGATGGAGAAACTTCCAGAGTGCATAAATTAATATGTCAGTCAAAAGCTCTACAGAGCTATGTTACTTGTTTTGAAAATCCGACTAAGTAAAATTTTCTGATTCTGATAAAATAAAACGCTGATTCTGTCTGAAGTTTTAATTTTTTGCACTCTTTAAAGGTAATTGCAAATTTGCTTAATTTCATGGTTTTTTAAGTGATACAGAAATTAAGAAGAAATATGCTTGTTCTTTAGATTCCATAGTCTTGGTTCAGCTGCACGCAGTAAAAATCATCCTGACAGCAGAGCCATCTTCTTTGATGAAGCTAAATACAGGTAAATCATAAAGAGCTGGATAAAGGTACAAAGTTACAGCAAGGTATTTGTAAACAAGGGATAAAGCAAGTCAGTGTTGCTCTACATGTATTTGATATATCTATGTTTGATTTTCTGCAGTAAAAAGAAAATAGATGATTTCCTGTCTACAATAGAGGGATTTAAAGTTGCCCAGAAAGTAGCGAAGAAGTTTCAATCTCATGTAGATAACTTTACGTAAGTATTTTGGAAGATTGAATGCACAGGGATAAATCTGAACTAATTATACAATAAAGATATAAATGGCTATAGAAATAAATGTATATTTATATATATTTTTATACCCCCTACAAACAAAATGTATTGCGATATATTTAAATGAGCCTGTACATGTATGTCTGCTGGTATGTCTAGACATGATGATTTTGCTCAAACACTTTCTTAAGAACTACTGCATGGATTTGTCTGAAAATTTGTACACCAGTTAAAAATGTGCACCTTGTATTTTCATCATGAGATATTTTTCTCCATTTTACATTTAGAAAAATTATGGACTTAATACTTTTGTTTTAAATTTTATAATTACCGTATAAGTAGAATTTTTAGCGAGGGTTTCATTTTGGCATTATTAGCGAGGGTGCAGACATCGCTAAAATTGAATATCACTAAAAATTAATTACATATTATTTGTAATAGATTCTTTAGTCAGCATTTTAAAATCGCTAAAATTACTTCTTGCTAAAAATAAAATACCATATTTGTCCATTATTGATATTTTTTTTTTTTTTCAGGTCCAAACTGCTGAAGCATACCATGACACTAGACACAACAGAGAGTAAAGGGCTATTCCCAGAATTACAGAAAGAAATGGAATTCTTTGAGGTAAGTGTGAAACTTGGAGTAAAAGAATTAAAAAAAGAAAAATATGTGATTTGTAACATGATATTCAGTTCGGTTTCTGTTTTGCAGAATGCGTTTGACCATGCTAAAGCAAAGAAAGATGGGGTCATTTTACCTAACAAAGGTTAGTTAAGCATACAATGCTTTTAGATTTAATAAGTATATAAAAAAAAATCTCCTTGTTGAACATTAATGTAAAAAAAAAAAAAAACAAACTAGTAGACCATCAAAGACTACTCATCATCTTTCTAACATAAAGATTGAGGTTAAATCATCACACTTTTAACCCTCTAATAATAATCATATAGAACTTTTTGTCATAAATTTGTACATGTATTGAGAATGGTTACTCATTGTAAAATTATGAATATCTTTATTATCTTAGGGCTATTCCAGAAAAAAATGTATGGGGGGGTTGGAAGGCACTTTTATTTTTACCCCACCACCCATACATTTTTAATTGCTTTCTCCCCCACCACCCATCAAATTAAAAATGCTTTTAATACAACCACCCATCTAAATTTAAAATACTTTTTTTTAAAGAATTGTGTTTTAAGTTATGTATAATAAAATTTTACGTACCGGTACTTTTTCAAGCATTTGCACTTTATGCAACTTGAAATGAGTGTTCGTTTTTGGAATGTATCCAAACAATGGACTCATTTAAAAAGAAAAAAAAATAAATATGATGGAAATCTAAATATTATGCATAAAACTTTCATTTTTTCATACTTTGAAAATAGTTTTAATCTTTTTTGAAAAGAATTTAGAAAGATATTTTTTCTGTAAATTTTAACAGAAACAAAAGTTCTGTAAGATTTTACAATCAGCTAATTTTTTTTAGTTCAAGTCCGAAGTTCTTTTGTAAGGGTTTTTTTAGGGGGGGGGGACTAAAGTTATGTAGTTATGTAAGACATTGTCTATATAGTGGGACATGAAAAAAAAATTACGAAGTCTCAATCCCACCTAACAACCGTGCAGGCACTTGTTTCTGAAATATATTTCATAAATTCATTTGTATGTTATGGCTGGGTTAAAAATATATTCGAGGTAACACTCAACAGGTTAGGGATTGGTACATGTATTTATTGACATAATACATGCATATTGTTACAAACTCTGTTATACATAAACATTATTTTACACCGTATTTGGTATTAAGTAAAATATTTGACTTGCAAACTCCATAGTCATGCTCTAAAATGTTTTATTATCAGATACGTTTTTTTTCTACTTTCGGTTTTAATCAAACGATCTCTCCGTTTCTAATATCATTTAATTTACCGATGTAATCACGTTTGAATAAATTGCTGAAATTAAACTTGAGCTGGAAGCAACAAAGAACACAAGAACACAAAGAAATTGTGTCCCAATCCTCCACTGTCATTGCACCATGTGCTTTTATAATTATCTACTTTCACTTTCAATGTAAACACACTTCTCAACTGTTTAGGACGTTTTTTTTAAAATAAATATAAATATTTACTGGCCTATACAAAATGAAAGGAAGGAAGTTCTTTGCAGTTGATTATTTGTTAGGGTAAGTGCAAACACCCATCTAAAAATATATCGGATGAGGACAACCACCCATGCAAATTTAATTGCTCCAGTCCCCATTACCCATACAAAAATAAATGAAGTGCCGTCCAACCCTCCCATATATTTTTTTCTGGAATAGCCCGTACACTAAAATTGACTACTTTTTTGAAGGCGTCAGTCCAGAGTATGACTCGGCAAAATCTGATTTGAAGGCAGCAGAGAGGGGACTGGAAGAGTACTTAGATAGACAGCGCCAGAGGCTAGGATGTAGAGTAAGTCCAGTACAAATTGAATATTTCTGAGATTAAAAGTCCTATCACTGAATTCCAAGTTAGTGTACACCAACTTTTATTCCCATGCAAGAAATATTAGCGAGTTTTGCGACCAACTAGCCAATATTAATCACCACAAGCCATTTTTTATGCTCCCCTTCAAAGAAGGGAGGGCATATTGCTTTGCTGCTGTCTGTTGGTCGGTCTGTCAGTCTGTCAGTCCACTTAGTTTCCGTTCATTTTTAGCTCTTCTGAGCCAAAAGCTCAAAAGCTCAAAGAGCTAATGCTATGGCCATTTGTTTAAACTTTTTAGAATATGGGCCATAACTCAAGAACCCCTTGGCCAATCAGTACCAAATTTGTCACAGGGTATCCTTGGCCCAAGGGCTACCATTTATACTAAAATAAGTGTTGGGACCCTTAAACAAGGGGAGATACTGTAAACCAACTTTTATTCGCGTGCGAGAAATTTTCACGAAATTCGCGAGAGCATCGTCATCGCGAATATTTCTCGCCGTGAACCGGTCCTTAAAGTGTTATTTGTCTATTAAATACACATCCAAAAAGGCTTGATCGCGAAAATTAATTGTCGCGAAATAGTCTACCCCTGCTAAATCGCGAAATAAAGTCGTGGCGAATAAAAGTTGGTTTACAGTAATCAGGAAAACAAAACCAAAAGTACTGGTTGCTAAAAAATCTTCTTCTCCATAACCACCTGGCAGATTTTCACCAAACTTGCATACAAGGATCAGGATATGTCGAAGATTAAAATTTGCACGGGGAATTACCCTGGGGCAAAGGGCGTGGTCTCAAGGTCACTTCAAAGTTGACCTAAATTTACAATTAATAAAAACGTGTATATTTTGCTTACTATAAGGACTAGGATCATCAAATCTTGTAAGTTGATACATCTTACGACTTCACATCATGTTAACTTAAAAGTAGGTCACGGTGACCTACTTTTTAAATTTTGCGGGGATTTGTTTTCAAATTGATTTGAAGGCATATTTTGGACACTTTAAGGCCTATGATCATCAAACTTTGTCAGTTGATGCATCTTGGGTCCTCAATCAATGTCAACTTAAAAGTAGGTCACCGTGACCTACTTTTTGAACTTTATGACTTATCCTATTAAAAACATTAAATCCCATTATTTCAGACACTGGGAGGTTCAGAATCATCAAATCTTGTACTTTGATGCATCTTGGGACCTTAAAACATATTTATGAAAAAGTAGGTCACTGTGACCTACTTTTTATACCCCCCGCAAACGAAGTTTGGGGGGGTATATAGGAATCACCTTGTCCGTCTGTCTGTCTGTCCGTCTGTCCGTCTGTCTGTGCAATTGTGTCCGGTCCATATCTTTCTTAAAGAGGGACATTAGAATCTACTACTCCACACTAAGATTGCTCATAACCTAAGGGTGTGTCATGACCTTGACCAAAGGTCATTTGGGGAAGTTCAAGGTCACTGGAAGAAAAATTTCATAATTCGTGTCCGGTCCATATCTTTCTTATGGATAAACTTGGTAGGTTCTCATTTCACACAAAGATTGCCCATGACCCAAGGGTGTGTCATGACCTTGACCCAAGGTCATTTGGGGAAGTTCAAGGTCACTGGGAGAAAAATTTCAAAATTCATGTTTGACACATATCTTTTATGGATAAACTTGGTAGGTTCTCAGTTCATAAAAAGATTGCCCATGACCCAAGGGTGTGTCATGACCTTGACCCAAGGTCATTTGGGGAAGTTCAAGGTCACTGGAAGAAAAATTTCATAATTCGTGTCCAGTCTCTATCTTTCTTATGGATAAACTTGGTAGGTTTTCATTTCACATAAAGATTGCCCATGACCCAAGGGTGTGTCATGACCTTGACCCAAGGTCATTTGGAGAAGTTCAAGGTCACTGGTAGAAAAATTTAATAATTCTTGTCCGGTCCATATCTTTCTTAAGGATAAACTTGGTAGGTTCTCATTTCATACAAAGATTGCCCATGACCCAAGGGTGTGTCATGACCTTGACCCAAGGTCATTTGGGGAAGTTCAAGGTCACTGGAAGAAAAATTTCATAATTCGTGTCCGGTCTATATCTTTCTTATGGATAAACTTGGTAGGTTTTCATTTCACATAAAGATTGCCCATGACCCAAGGGTGTGTCATGACCTTGACCCAAGGTTATTTGGAGAAGTTCAAGGTCACTGGTAGAAAAATTTAATAATTCATGTCCGGTCCATATCTTTCTTAAGGATAAACTTGGTAGGTTTTCATTTCACACAAAGATTGCCCATGACCTATGGGTGTGTCATGACCTTGACCCAAGGTCATTTGGGAAGTTCAAGGTCACTGGAAGAAAAATTTTATAATTCGTGTTTGATACATATCTTTATTATGCAAAAACTTACTTCTGAAAAACCCAGCGGGGGGTATTTTGTCTCAATTGGACAGTTCTAGTTGAATTTTGCTGACATTTGTTTTCAAATTGTTTAAAACTCATATTTCGATTACCTTCAGACCTACAATCATCACACTTGGTCAGTAGATGCATCTTGGGTCTTTGAAAAATGTCGACCAAAATGTAGGTCACGATGACCTACTTTTGACATTTTATGGCTATATTTAAGTATCTTAGGTATTTATTGGCTTAGAATCATCAAATTTTGTGAGTCCATGCATATTTGGTTTTCGGAGAGTGACGACCTAAAAGTAGGTCACGATGACCTACTTTTGACATTTTATGGCTTTATTTAAATATCTCCGGTACTTATTGGCTTAGAATCATCAAACTTTGTGAGTTGATGCATCTTGGGTTTTCAGAGAGTGACGACCAAAAAGTAGGTCATGGTGACCTACTTTTGACATTTTATGGCTATATTTAAGTATCTCAGGCACTTATTGGCTAAGAATCATCAAACTTTGTCAGTTGATGCATCTTGGGTTTTCGGAGAATGTCGACCAAAAAATAGGTCACAGTTACCTACTTTTGAATATCCCAGGTACGTATAAGCTTAGAATCATCAAACTTTGTCAGTTTAGGCACGTTGGGTTTTCAGAGAACCTGAGAGCCTGAGAGCTTAGCTGAGGCTTTCGGAGAACGTCGACCAAAAAGTAGGTCACTGTGACCTACTTTTGACATTTTATGGCTATACTTAATTATATCTGGTACTTATTGGCTCGGAATTATCAAGCTTTGTCAGTTGAGGCATCTTAAGGTTTCATTGAATGTCCAAAAAGAAGTAGGTCACGGTGACCTAATTTTGAATATCTCAGGTACTTATTGGCTTAGAATTTTCAAATTTTGTCAATTTAGGCATTATGGGTTTTTGAATAACGTCGACCAAAAAGTAGGTCACCGTGACCTACTTTCGACATTTGAAGGCTATATTTAATTATCTCTGGTACTAATTGGCTTAGAATCGTCAAACTTTGTCAGATGATGCATCTTGGGTTTTCAGAGAATGTTGACCAAAAAGTTGGTCACGGTGACCTACTTTTGAATATCTCAGGTACTTATTTAATTAGAATCATCAGTCTTTGTCAATTATTGTATCTTGAGTCCTCAGAAAATTTCAATCAAAAGGTAGGTCACTGTGACCTACTTATGGTATTTTATAATTATATTATAATATCTTCAGTCTTAACTGGCTAAATATTATCAAATGTTGTAAGTTGATGCATTTTGGGTCTTATGATTCTAATAGAGTTGGAGGCTTCTAATAGAAGTGATAGATTGTACAATTTATCAGAAGAGCAATTCAAGGCCCTTGGGCCTCTTGTCTTCAGAACCAATGCACATACTAAAATGAAATTTGGTATACAGACATATCATATGAATGTCTAGGTCAAGTTCATTTTCTTTGCAACCGTTGCACATACTGAAATGAAATTTAGTATACAGATTTATCAGATGAATATCTAGGCCAAGTTCTGTTTTGGGTACGATCGCACCATTTTTGACAGAGTTTTGCCCCTTGGACTTAGAAAAATTCCAATTATTTGCAGTTTCTGTTCATTTTCTTTGCAACCGTTGCACATACTGAAATGAAATTTAGTATACAGATTTATCAGATGAATATCTAGGTCAAGTTCCTTTTTGGGTACGATCACGCCATTTTTGACAGTTAAATCCTTTTGGACTTAGAAAAATTCCAATTTAGGGGGAGGGGGGCATAAGTTTTTTACAAACATCTCTTGTTTTGCATTGTATTTGTATTGTTTCCTCAGTCCCAAAAATAAATTGCCCAAATTCATTTCAAACTGTCAAATAAAAGATAACGCAAAAAATAGTTTGTTTGCGGTTTATTTCTATTTGTTGTAAAAGGAAAAAAGTATAATGCTGAAAGATATCCAATGTATATCATATTTAGTACTAAATGTACTAGTGTTGAAGTCATGATAATGTTTTCTGAGACGTTTTTTTTGCCTCTAAAGATCTTTGTTTACCACTCGGTGTTCTTACATTTTGGACTCTGTAAAATACAGTAGTAGCATGTACTTTCAAATGATTTCTTCACCAGACATTAACCTACTGGGGCTCTGGGAAAAATAGATATCAGATTGAGGTACCAGAGAGTGTAATGAAAAGGGTCCCTGATGAATATAACTTGATGTCCTCCAAAAAAGGGGCCAAGAGATTCAGGACGACGGAGATCGAGGATCAGTTGGTGGATCTAACTGAAGCTGAGGAGCGTAAAGATGCTGCCCTAAAAGACACCATGAGGAGACTCTTCTATAGTTTTGATGAAAGGTAAATGTGAAGGAATGAAAGTAATACTTATATTTATATTTTTTACACTTGCAAACAATTTGCCCCATTTTAGAAATTCACTCAGTCACAGTTTTGTGTAAGAAATAATGCCATTTTCTTTTATTTTGCACTGTTTTAAATTTGCCCACCTGTAAGTTGGGCTAAAGGGGCAAAAATAAAATGGGGGCAAATATTTCCCTGTATTCAGTACATGTTCATGTGTTTATGATATTGATTTTTGGTGGTACATGCATGCCCAAGAATTTGTACAATGTGAACATTGTTCATGGGACATTAAATATCATTGTAATCTGTAATACATGTATTTACATACCTGTAGGTACAAACTATGGGACACAGCTTTGCAGTGTCTGTCTGTTCTGGATGTGTTGATGTCCCTGGCTAAGTATGTTGGTGCAGCAGATGGAGTCACATGTAGACCAGAGATATTAGATCCAACATCTGACACAGAGGTAAATGTATACACTCCTAAAGATGTAATTACTTGAAACTAACTTTATTTGCATGTTAGAAATATATTAAAGAGATTTTAAAATCTTTTACAAACATTTATTGCCAGGAACTATTTATTTATGACACACAATTAAAAATTGTCACAGAAAATACATGTAGTTGGTGTACAGTATTGGCATTTACACCCTGTATACTGTGAAAATTTGTTGCAAATGTGGAATGTGCTTAGAAATATATTACCGGTAATTTATCTAATTACAATATTGGTATGGCCTTTTGAGAGATACTGTTTAACCTTTTTTATGCTTTTAGCCCTTTATAGAGATAAGAGAGGCCAGACATCCCTGTGTAACGAGGACATTTGGAGGAGGGGATTTTATTCCTAATGACACTGTTATAGGTATCCCTGACGTAAGTAGAAAAATAGCAGGAACAGTAGATATATTTTGTCCTGATCTGGAGATAAATGGTTTAAATTTGCAGGTCTAATATTTCACTTACACAAAAGTAAATTATATTATTAAATTATATCTATCATGTGTACCATTTCAAAATGAAAATAACTATTTTGTGCCCCCTCCCCCATTTACAGTACAGTTGTAAAGCCACCGTACTTAAAAAATACAGACAATGTATTTAAGCAATCAATCCTTTCTGTTATTCCAGGAACTCGACACGGAGGGGGGTGAAGAGAACAGCAGTAGTAAGATCGTCTTGGTAACAGGTCCAAACATGGGAGGTAAATCCACTCTCATGAGACAGGTTGGACTAATTACCATCATGGCTCAGATGGGATGTTATGTTCCTGCTGAGAAATGTCTGTTAACTCCTGTTGACAGAGTGTTTACGAGGCTAGGGGCAAGTGACAGAATCATGTCAGGTATGGAATATTTTTGCAAATATTTATTAACTTTTCAAGATCCTTTTAGCATTCTGAAACTGTTTCCCTGGTTACATATAAATGAAATAAGTTTGGTTTCAGGTGAAAGCACTTTCTATGTGGAGTTAAGTGAGACAGCAGCTATTTTACAACATGCTACCAAACATGCACTTGTTCTAATAGATGAACTGGGTAAGACATATATATTATAAAAACTGTTGAAATTTCTGAATTACATGCGCAAATGAATTTATGGAAATTTTAGTGAATTGAGGCATTTAGAGATAATTAATACAATTTGCACTCAATTTTCTGTAAATTTTTGAAATATTTGTTTTGAAAAATGACTCAAAAATAAGATGAATTTTTAGGTTTCTAAGATTAAAAAGGATAGAGTGTGCAAAGAAAAAAATGTTCAAATGACAACATTGTTTGACAATGGAAATTTTTTTCTTCAAATGAATGGTTTTAGTTCATGTGATGGTTATTAATGTAAAATGTAACATTTGACTTGTCAGGTAGAGGAACAGCTACATATGATGGTACAGCTATTGCCTGTGCTGTCGTGAATGAGCTTTCCAAAAACATTCAGTGTAGGACGCTATTCTCCACACACTATCACTCACTGGTCGAAGAATTCTCTCATGATCCCAACATCAGGCTAGGCCACATGGTAAATATATTAATATCTGCTTGAAGGTCAATTTTACTTGGACAGCTTAGTCGAATAGTCAGAGGCTTTAATCAAATAATAGTCATGTACTTACTAAAATAAACATTAATTTTCATGTCATTTTCACTATCTGTCAGACAGCTAGCTTGTACTTTATCTTATCTTTGCTATCACCTATCACTCAACAGTTAAAATTAGTTCATCCTCATTTCTTGTACCTTCAAAATCAACCAACTTTCTCTGTGTTGTAGTCTTGTATGGTAGAAGATGAAGGTGATCCATCAGAGGAGACCATCACATTCCTGTACAAGTTTGTAAAAGGGGCCTGTCCTAAAAGTTATGGCTTCAATGTGGCTCGCCTGGCCAACATTCCTGAGGAGGTAACAGTTCATTTATAAATCCTGTTGTTATTTAAATTCTAATATTGTATTTTAATACTCTAGATCACTAAATTTTCATTACATATTATTTTTGTGAGATAGTCACTGACTCTTGATTAGCAAGACAAAAATTTCATGAATTGTGGTTACTGCTGTATTTAATCTCAATGAATACTATTATATGCGAGAATAAAATTTTCGCGAGCACACTGTCTCATGTAATTGTCTTGTGTAATTACATGAAAATAAAATTCTCACGAATAAAAAGGGATTTACAGTAGATATAGATAAGTTTCAAAGAAACATCTTATGAAAATCCATATGCACATTTATTCTGATGTCACAGTAACATTTTTACCTTGACCTTTCCTTTGACCTGATATTTCTCAAATTTGAGTTCAGGGCAGTTGCCAAAAAAAAAAAATTAGAATTTTTCCAGATATTTTTATGTTACGTGTGTAGCTTATGCATTGATACAGTATTTGGTGAAAATTTATAAACAGTGTCCAATTTCTTTCACCTTGCCCTTCCAATGACATTCGACTTTACTATTTATTGTGTATTAAAGTCAACTTTGAAGAAACTTTTCTAGGTATTTTTATCAAACATCATACTCTAATGCAAATTTTCAAGTTGCATTACTGATGAACTCTTGGCAGTGCATTTACCATTTTATGTCTTAGGGAAATATTTCTAGTGTGGAGTATATACATGGATATAAATTTACCTATTGTTTTTCTTTTGTAGGTTGTTAAACTTGCCAAAGAGAAAGCAAAGGAATTTGAAATGTCTGTTGAATTGAAAAAATTATTTAGGTAAAATTGAGTATTGTGTTTAAAATATGATAGATATGTGCAGTACCCAGGGTACTTTCTTTTACAAACACCTGCTACAGTTTTTGAATCTTTGTAACGATTTGGAAATTTAAAATTCAGAGGTACATATACTTGAATTAATTCAATTGATGGATATTTAATTTATGCAGTTCTTTTTTTAGGTCGATATGGCATGATGATTCCACTGAGAATATAAAGAGGGTACAAGCCTTACTCCCAGAGGACCTCTAGTCTTCTACAAGTCTCTTCAAATGAAATATATTGACTAGTGCCATGCCACCTTCTTTGAAATGTGCTGAACTTGAAAGTGCTCATAAAAACTAGGGTAATCTAAGTTGCTGTTGGGCAGCAGCTGCATGTACAATTACATGTAATAAAGATACTGAAAAAATATGTGTAAATGAAAGCAGGCAGATGAATTGTAAACAACTCAAAAGGAAATCATATTACATATTATTCTTCAGTCATTACTGTAAATTCATACCATAATATTCTTGTAGCAGGTTTTCAAAATGTTCTTTGATGCAATCAAATATATTTTTAGCTCACCTCAACGAAGTTGGGGGGAGCTTATGTGATACCCTCGGCGTCGGCGTCGGCGTCCCGGGTTAAGGTTAAGTTTTTTGGAGCAGTTTTCTTTTTAAGTACTTCTATGTCCTATATTGATTAGACATGCATGGAAGATGTTGCTAGTGTGTTTCATTGTACCAGTCAAAGTTTCAGATGCTGCAATTTCAGCAAAGATATGACCAGGTTAATGTTTTTGGTGCAGGTTAACATTTTTGGTGCAGTTTTTGGTGTAGGTCTCATTTCCGAATAACTATAAGCCCTATGTTGACCAAACTTACATGGAAATACATCTTAGGATGCATACTACCAGCCTTGCTTCGGATGCTGAATCTGACCTACATTTTCCGGTTGAGTGAACAGGTTAAAGTTTTTGGTGAAGGTTTCATTTCGAAGATACGTTGAGCCCTATAATGACCAAACTTGCATGGATGGTACATCTTTGATGTAATCTACTAAACTTGCTTCGGATGCTGAATCTGACCTACATTTTCCGGTTGAGTGAACAGGTTAAAGTTTTTGGTGCAGGTTTCATTTCCAAGTTACTATGAGACATATAATGACCAAACTTGCATGGATGGTACATCTTAGGATGCATATTACAAGACCTGCTTCGGATGCTGAATCTGACCTTCATTTTCCGGTTGAGTAAACAGGTTAAAATTTTGGGTGCAGGTTTCATTTCCAAGGTACAGTACTATGAACCCTATAACGACTAAATTGCATGGATGGTACATCTTAGGATGCATACTACCAGACTTGCTTCGGATGCTGAATCTGACCTACATTTTCTGGACGAGTAAACAGGTTAAAGTTTATGGTGCAGGATTCATTTCCAAGTAACTTTGATATAATGACCAAACTTGCATGGATGGTACATCTAAGGGTGCATTCTACTAGGCTGGCTTGGGATGCTGAATCTGACCTACATTTTCTGGATTAGTGGAAAGGTTAGTTTTTTATACAGGTTTCATTTGCAAGTAACTTTAAGCCCTATGTTGACCAAACTTGCATGGATGATACATCTTAGGATGCACACTAATGGACTTGCTTCAGATGCTGAATTCGACATACATTTTCCAGATAATAGACCTCGTAAAAGTTATGGGTGCAAGTCTATCACCAAGAAACTATAAGGCTTATATAAACCAGTTGCACAAATGATGCATCAAGGGATGAAAACTCTCAATCTTGCTTCAGATGCTGGATTTTAATTACATTTTCATGATCAAGAACTAATTTTTAGTTTTTATATAGGTCTATTCCAAAGTATCAAATTTGCATAAATTTTGCATTTTTGGATGTACACTTTTTGTTGGTTAATTGTGTGACTTAATTTGCCTTACTTAAAGACAACACACGTTGAGGTGAGCTCTGTAATCTCTGATTACCTATGTTTGTTTTTATACTAGGATATTGTTACATATTTTGTCTTTATTTTTTATTAAGAATAATAAAATCCATATTGACAATAGTGTACAAAGAGTTTTGTGTGTGTCTTGGCATATCTTTTGTCAAAGTATGTTTGATAAAGTGTCCATAGATGTTTGTGAAATCAGAATTGTGAAATCAAGTGAGGGAATAAAACTGAACCAATCAAACAGTTAGTAATTTGGTGTTAAATTATAACTAGCCTTTTATTGACAATAAATAAATATAACAAAGTATATACACGTGTAAGCATTTTGGCAAAATTTTATGAACTTTTGTAGAGCTCCAATCATGTATAAATCATCTTTAAACTGTTGAAGAAGTTTCTTGAACAGGACGGATTTAGTGAAGGTTGCAAGTGCTATAAAGAACTACAGAGTGATGACCCGTTTTTGATACAGGGACCGACACACGGGACATATGGGTCTGTCCTCACAGGCAAGCTCCTCAAATGTCCTCAAACATGTCTCATGAAACACATGTGAACAAGACAATAGAACTGTCTTCCTTAAGCCTGCTTTAGGTTTACAGTTATGTTCAGTGGTCTGTGAAGTCAGTTTGCTAATTATTGGGTCTTTGTCTAGTCCCACAGACTTCTTCGTATCAGTTTTATCGGCAAGTTTGGACATGTTTGACATGGCATTATGGAGTTCTTGTGTAGTGAAAGTTGGTCCATCTCCCATGTAACCGGGTAGAACCAGTGCTCCTAAACAGATAGGGCACTCAATTTCCTGTCTCATCACAGCCTTAAAAGACAAAAAATTGGAGTAATCAATCACTTCATAGTTATGCCCCTTTTTACACACTTTCACCTTGAAGCAAGGATACTAAGAAATGGAGTTAACAATATTTGCAGAATTATACCCTAATTTTCACTTTGATGCAATAATATTACATTATGAGGAGGAATTAAGTTTTTCTGTAGAAATTAGTTATAGCGAAATAAAACTCACCTTTAGTTGGACTTCTTCCCATTGTTCTTCAGACATTATGTTGAAAGTGGCATCAAAATTGCGAAACACAGCACGACTTGCTGCCAGGTTCTCGTCAATTTCAGTCAAAAAGACATCAATGTTGAAGTCACATGATCGTAGCATTCTATCTGTTATACTGAAGAAAAATAAAACAAAACAAAAGTAATTTGAGTCAAAAAACCTTTATCAAATATTTTTTTAAAGTATAATCAAACAAAATTAATTTTTCATTTTATCAAAAATATTTATTTTATATTGCAATACAATACTCGTATCGCAATACGATTTTGTAATACCGATATATGGCAATACTTAGATTAAGGAATTTTGTCAATAATATAAAAAGATGAAAGTTTGTTATTAAGCCAAACAGTCCTTTTTGTGAGAGCATTTTAAGAATAAATGAAATCAGCAAGATGCACACATGTATTCTGTATGTAAATTAAGTAAATATTGAAAATGCCATAATTACATTGAAAAAGAATTCGCAATACAGTTTAAAATTGATACAAAAGTGTAAGCCCTAAAATTGAGAGAAAAACTTCTGCAAAACTATTTTTTATACAAGCACGTCTTGTCATCCTATCAATATTCCGGAAAGATTTTCAAAGTTACATTGAGTATACAGATGACTTGTAATTTTATGTTAATTTTATAAATTCTTAATTGATAAGGCTTATTAATAATGAAACACAATTTCTCTCACCTTGCTGGCATAAAATTTTTTTCTGAGCTTTGGATCTGTGGGTGGAACTGACTCCCTTAACTTCAGATACCAGCACCTGACAACATAGCCTCTCCAGGCAGCTTGGATTCTATAAATGTATATGTATTATTATAATTAAACGAAGTAAGAATAATCAGTGAATATATTGATAATTTCAGAAAATCTGAAGGACATATCAAATTAAGAAATATTTTAACTGACCTTGTTGCACATTTTATTCTGTGTTGTTTTGCTCCTTCATGGATGACTCTCGTCTGGTATTGTTCGTTACGACACATTGGACATGTTTTTTTGCCAGTGAACCTTTCAAAAGCTTGTAGGCATGCCTTTGATGAAAATACAAAATCCTATATATATATATATATATATATATATATATATATATATATATATATATATATATATATATATATATATATATATATATACACATATATATTGATTTAAAACCATAATAATAATGTATATATCGATAAAGTACAGAACATACCAGTACTTTTTAGATTGATACTTACCCTATGGAAAACATGTGAACAAGACAGCAGCACCTAAAAAACAAAAAAATTAGCATCAAAATGTGCACCTTGAAGAGATTGACATACATGTACATAGTTATAAATTCTTTGAGAATTTTTTTTCTCTATGATTTCTACAAAATTCTAAACAAGCACCTGCTCTTGGGTTCCAAAATCTTCTTTACAAATGACACAGGGTAATTTTGAATCATCTCTTTCATTGGACTTGAGTTTCATACTTTGCCATTCTTTTTCAGAAAGAGGTTGATCAGGAGCTTCAACCAACCCCATTTTTTGAGCTGAAACAATAAAAGATATTTTTAATTATTTTGTTTTGTTTTTTTAGATAGAGAGAGGATGTTTTTGTTTGTTTTTAAAGCATGCACAAGAACAGAAAATTAGGGCATCAGGCTACTTTTTAATTTTCTTACCAAGTGTGAGAGTGACTGGCTTTGCATCCAATACGTATTCTTCATCTTCTTTTTTTGCAGATCCTAATTGATTAAAAATAATGCATCTTGTACACAACTCATCAAAGCTGATCATACATGTAATTATATATTTTATCTATTGACAGCATTATCTAATAGACATGCATGTTTATTATTTCTATGTATGATAAATTGACGAAGAAATTTATCACACCTAAGTTAGCTATAAATAATGAAAAGCAATAAATTGTCGAATAAAGGGAGATATATATACAGCATATTTACAAGAGATTTATAAAAGGAAGGGTAATTTGTAAGAATCTATAATATTGGCAAATGTTTTTAAGTTGTAGCACTGAAAAGCCTATGTTTAATCAGGGACCTATATACTAAAGGGATAGGCAACTCCTTCATCGCCATGTTTTTATACCCAAAACATCACGCAAGACACTACGAATTTTTCAATTAACATTTATTCCCAGTAAACAGGGTGTTTTCTGATTATTATCATTTATTCCTTTTATGTATTGGAATTGATTTATTAATAAATTTTAAATGATAATAATAATATAATTTAAATATAAAGAAAACAAAGACAGAAATGGCGATTTTCGGAAATATGGCTGATCGGGGCATGTGCTGATTTTGCATAAAACAAAATTACTACTAAGGTAAGGAGTATAATACGTGATTAAAACAAATCTTGATTGATTTTTTTGACAGATAATTAAAGGATTTAATCTCAAGTATGCGATAGCGGTAGAAATATAGTTAATCAAAGTTGACTTACGAAATCCCGCGACTTACGAGATATCGCGAGATTTGCGGTAGTTGCCTATCCCGTTAGTATATAGGTCCCTGGTTTAATACAATTTAATATTACATGTACATGTATATGTTACCCTTTGGTCTTGTTCTCCTCAGGCCTGTATCTGTCTGTGATTTGATCTCCTTCTTCTGTCTCTGTTTGGCTTTAGCTGCTGAAAACACCATTACCTTTTGGCCCTATTTAATGGTGCTCCTAAATTTAGTGATTCGAACAAAAAAGATTTTGGTTTCAAAAAAAAAAAAAAAATGCTACAGCTGCTAAGGTAGTTGATGAGGTACCTTCCTGAAATTAAATGTGAAAATTGTATTAGGCCTACATATAATGAAGTCAGTATAATTGTCCTGAATTCTGTGTATGCCCCTTTAATCGAAGAAAATACATTATTTTGATAAAAATGTGTGTTGAAATAGCTGAATCAAGCTATATAGCTAAATCAAGAAACTGCTCAATTGCAAGAAAATTCTAGTATTTCAAACTTGAAGATTTTAGAAGTCAGGATTTGTTTGAAACTTCTTGAATGTAAAATATCATCCTACTGATTCAGGGCTCTCGAAGATGAAGAACATCTTAAAGTAGTAAAGGAAATTCGAATTGCATTAAAAAAAAGACAATACTTTAGAAACTGAACTACCTTGTCTTGTTTCTGAGGACCAGTTGTTTTCTTTGTATAAGACATAGTTTTTCCTTTATTTTCCCCTCTGTAAAATATCCAAAGCATGCAGGGAATCAAAAATAAAGCTTTATCATCGTGTCAAGTGCGAAGAATCCAAGGTAAACAATGCAAGGTTCTGGTTAAGTCAGACTCTATATGCTTCGTTTGAAAGAAATAAAATCTTTACGCATTTTCATGAAAATTGTATTCATATATTGGGCTCTTCATATAGGCCTATATATTTATTTAAAATATAAATTTTTCACTTGTAAAAACATTCTTGTTAAAGCAAATGTTCACTTTTGTAACGTGCACAGGAATCATTTAATGAACGATTTAACTATTACCTGCACTACTTAAAAGATGGATGACCACGAGTCTGCAGAGAGGATAGCCAATGTTTTTGCCGATTTTCAGTCATATTTCAACAAAGAACAAGATTTAAGAGAGGTATATAAATACCTACTGTCACGTACATAGTGCGATTGAATACTTTAGACAGAAATTTATATGGCAGATTGGGAGATTTCCAGGTGTTAGGATCCATTTCACTTAGAATAGTTGAATCCACACTTTTCAAAAGTTATTTCCTTAGCCGCCATCTCCGGGGGGGGGGGACCCCAAGAATGTAGCAAATGGGAGTAGATCCAATCAAAACAATTTTGAAGCATACAAAAGATATAGTTAGAATAATCTAACTGTGTCTCGGTACAAGCCCTCACCACAGTTAGAATACCACCCATATACTCGTAATGTAGCAAAAAATTGCAGAATCGCACCGAAACGATTTTGAAGGATACAAACGGATTTGCACTGAAAATAACTTGCAAATTAATCATAACAAACCTTTTTGAGATTGTTTATGCCTTTTATCCCCGAAAAAATAATCCATATAAATACGAAAATCCAATTCATTTTCTCAACGTTTTTCTCTCGATTCAAATTACCTCCATGTTTACATTCGGAACTCTCTAGATTGTTCCTAGTAAATGCACTATGCGAGTTATCGCCCGTGTTTCTTTCTGCTACATTACGAATACACGGAACGAATTCTATCGTTAAACCGGGTCCGTAGGACAATATCATTTTAACGATAGAACATTCTATCTAACAAAAGATATTGCGCTGAAAAATAACAACAAAATTTAAAAAAAAAAAACCTTTTTGCATATGACTTTTAGCCTTAAAAAAATATTAATAATCCATGTAAATATGACTATTTAATTTATTTTCTGATTGTTTCTTCTCTTCTCAAATTTAAACTCCAAGATTACATTGGGAACTTTTTGGATTTTTCCTAGTAAATGCACTGAGTTTGAGTTCTCATTTTGCTATATTGCCAATACACCGAGTAAATAACAGAATTCTATCATTAAACCAGGTCCGTAGGACAATATCATTTAAAAGATAGAACTTTCTATCAACATTTCTTCCACAGGTGCTAAAACTAGCTTTTTATAAAACTTCATACTCTCTGATACTTAAACAGAATAAGGTTGGCAATGTCGACAGATGATTTTCAACACCTCAATGAGATATCCTCAAAAAATTAAGATGAATTTGAATGCTACCAACTTACTTGAAGTAAAGGTTTCCATATTTCTAAATCATAAGAGATTTTAAATTAATTAATACATCACTAATTTGTGTCCCATTCTAGTTCCTGTCCTAGGAATTTTCTTGTTTAACACCCATGACATTATTTCAATTGTTAATGAATGAAAGTGGTCATTTTTACTATTTATAGAAGGAGCAAACCCAACTACTGCTTTTTATGATACATGGACATTCAGAAATTGCGAACTTTATACAAATAATTTTTATATTTTTGGTCATTTCTGTTCAAGTTGTCGGCTTATGTAAACACAGGTGCCTTTAAACATGGAATTCTATGGATATATAGATATTTAAGATTAATTTGTCATGATTATGATATGCTTTATTTTCTTCTTAGGAAATCCGATCCTCTGTCCGTGATTTAGAACAAACAGCTAGGGAAATCCACGCAATTCTGCAGCAAGTACATCAAAGAGATGGAAGTAAAAATGGTATTTACATTTTTATGATTCATGTATCTATTCTCATGGGTAGATTCATGTATCTATTCTCATGGGTAGATACATGGACTTAATTATACATGTGCACTTTAATTAAGTTTTTTCATTATCAATAAACATTTTTTTCAGTTGCTAATATATGCAAAAGCACTGACCCATATTTTGAAACAGCTAGAAAGCAGTTCCAGGAATTAAGTTCGAAGGTTGCAGAAAATCAGTATTATAGGTAATAATTTACATATAATTTTTATTTGCTACATGTACATCTAATAGAAAATAAATTGCAACTTGATTTCAAAATATTATATTATGTAAGATACATGAATAGATTAGACAGTATGCAGGAAGTGCTTTCAATGAGACTTCATTCACATATGATATGAAAGATATTACAATAATTAATTTATAATGTTATACCTAGTTTACATCTTTTACACCCTTTAAAAAAATTTAAAAAATATCCAAGATATTACAGACAAATAAATTGTTTACAGATGTATTAAATACCTAATTTTGACATAATCATACATGTATTTATTTAAAATTAGTTAAAATGTGACAAGGAAAATTGTGTAATTCTGATAAGAAAATTAGATGACCATTTTTTGGTATTTATCATATTAGTATATACAGTGTTATATTTTGTGTTTTTGCTCCCCAAGGTTTCATGACCACTGGAAATTCGCTCTTCAGAAGCTTTCCTTCCTGTCAGCCCTAGTTACCTACCTCAGAACAGAAAAACTCGTCACAAGGGAGGAGACCGCAGGGATGATGGGAGGTAAGTAAACACGATCAGCTTGTACATATTAACAGAGAGGACACTTAGCACTCAGATTGTGAAAGAAATTTAAACTTATGTTCTGAAATGGTGTAAAAGCCAAATTTTCAAAAGTAAAAAATGAATTCAAAATTTTTTCATCAAAGTTCTGTGCAAAATTGAGTTTTGATTCAGTTATAAAGCTTCTCAGTTCTCACGGATGATTGATTATTAAACACCAGGTACAAAGGAGAGGGGGTATACTGTTTTACCTTTGTGTGTCTGTATGTCTGTCCATATAAATTATAGTTTTCTCAGGGTCTATTCACATCAAAATAGTGGTACGTGTACAAATGAGCATTGGTTCACAGACTTCTTGTTGATTTAGATCTAAGTCTGTGGTAACTACCAATAATTAAAAATTCCTGGTTAAGGCCATAATAAATAAATTGCTAGATTCTCATCCAAATTTTTTTAAAAATCGAGGCGGGCGGGCGGCTTTTATTTTATATTTTTTATTTTTTCAATTTTGCAGATTTTTTATTGACCTGGTCAATCGGTGTAATTTTATCTACAATACCTGAATAAAAGTCATAGTCAAGGTTCAATTATCTCTTACTACACATCATCACCAATCGTTTTCAACCAATGACCCTTGTTTAAAGTATAAACACATGTATTACAGCAATATTACCATCTTTTCAAAATCATGTCGACTTTCGCGGGATTTAAAACGAAAGTAGAATGGTATATGAATACCGATCCTGATCAGAATTAAGACGAAGAAAAACAGAAATAAAAAAAAATCGAGGCGGGGGCATAAAATCGGGGTGGGCGGGGATGAGAATCTAGGAATATTTTTATTATGACCAAACCTGAAATGAAAATTGTTTGTCACTGTAGTGAAACTGAAACAAGAAGAAGGCTTTCATATGGATTTAGATGACTATTTGATTGGTTTACTCCAGATGGCTAGTGAATTGGTTAGTATGATTTATTTTCTGTGTATATGTCTAAGTTTTTCTTCTTACATGTTTTTTGTACAAAGCTAGAATTCTTGAGCATTTGATAGTCTTTTATTGTCAATTTTTCGTGTAGTTTTTAGCTCACCTGAGCCGAAGGCTCAAGTGAGCTTTTCTGATCACATTTTGTCCGTCGTCCGTCCGTCTGTCTAGCTGTCCGTCCGTCCGTCTGTCTGTCCGTCTGTCTGTAAACTTTTCACATTTTCCACTTCTTCTCAAGAACCACTGGGCCAATTTTGACCAAACTTGGTACAAAGCATCCTTGGGTGAAGGGGAATTAAAATTGTTAAAATGAAGGGACATATCCCCTCGCAAGGGGAGATAATCAAGAGAAGACAAAAATAGGGTTGGGTCATTAAAAAATCTTCTTCTCAAGAACCACTGGGCCAGTAAAGCTGAAACTTATGTGGAAGCATCCTGGGGTAGTGTAGATTCTAAATTGTTCAAATCATGACCCCCGGGGGAAGGGCGGGGCCACAATGGGGAATCAAAGTTTTACATAGAAATATATAGGAAAAATCTTTGAAAATCTTCTTCTCAAGAACCACTGGGCCAGAAAAGCTGAAACTTATGTGGAAGCATCCTGGTATAATGTAGATTCTAAATTGTTCACATCATGACCCGCGGGGGAAGGGCGGGGCCACAATGGGGAATCAAAGTTTTATATAGAAATATATAGGAAAAATCTTTGAAAATCTTCTTCTCAAGAACCACTGGGCCAGTAAAGCTGAAACTTATGTGGAAGCATCCTGGGGTAGTGTAGATTCTAAATTGTTCAAATCATGACCCCCGGGGGAAGGGCGGGGCCACAATGGGGAATCAAAGTTTTACATAGAAATACATAGGAAAAATCTTTGAAAATCTTCTTCTCAAGAACCACTGGGCCAGAAAAGCTGAAACTTATGTGGAAGCATCCTGGTATAGTGTAGATTCTAAATTGTTCAAATCATGACCCCCGGGGGAAGGGCTGGGCCACAATGGGGTATCAAAATTTTACATAGAAATATATAGGAAAAATCTTTGAAAATCTTCTTCTCAAGAACCACTGGGCCAGAAAAGCTGAAACTTATGTGGAAGCATCCTGGTATAATGTAGATTCTAAATTGTTAAAATAATGACCCCTGGGGGAAGTGCGGGGCCACAATGGGGAATCAAAGTTTTATATAGAAATATATAGGAAAAATCTTTCAAAATCTTCTTCTCAAGAACCACTGGGCCAGAAAAAGTGAAGCTTATGTGGAAGCATTCTGGGGTAGTGTAAAATCTAAATTGTAGGAATCATGACCCCCGGGGGAAGGGCGGGGCCATTATTGGGAATCAAAGTTTTACATAGAAATATATAGGAAAAATCTTTGAAAATCTTCTTCTCAGGAACCACTGGGCCAAAAAAGCTGAAACATATGTGCCCATGGAAGGATCATGGCGTAGTGTAGATTTCAAAATGTCTAAATTATGATCAGTGGGGTGTGGTGGGGATGCATTATGTATAACAAGGGGGAAATCTGGGAAAGAACAGAATGATCAAAGCTTCTCAGGTGAGCGATGTGGCCCATGGGCCTCTTGTTTTATGCCCCGCCATGAATATGGCCAGGGCATATACGAGGGCTGTTCGGAAATTATTGAGACATTTACTTTAACTCTATAAAGAGCAGAGATAAATTCAGGAAAATTCGTCAACATTTTAAAAAGCAAGAATAAAACAAATATGCAAAATTTCAAATTTATAGGATAATTAGATAAGTTCTGGTGAAATTATAAACATGCATATGTCTATCAACCTGGAGCAGCATCAATACGTCATTTTAACATCACGTCAGTCGGAGATGTTTTCGCATGTGAAACGACCGGGTACATTTTTATTCCCTACTAACTATAAGCCCTACCTGAACCAAACTGATCAAATTTTATTCACATACAAATTTTCATGTTGCTTTACTAATATATCCTCGGCGGGGCATTCATGTCCTATGGACATATTTTTAGTTTTTCCATGAATGTAATACCGGGGTATTTCATTGCTTTGATACTCCACCATTTAAAGTGTTCTATTCTTTATCAGTCTTCATTACTTTTTCAGTCCAGGTTGGCAGTAAACTCAGTAACTGCTGGGGACTTTAATCGACCAATGAGAATTGCTAATTTTGTAGCCGAACTGGATGCTGGATTCCGACTTCTGAATCTTAAAAATGATGCCCTGCGCAAGAGGTTTGATGGACTGAAATACGACTTAAAGAAGGTGGAAGAAGTCGTGTATGACTTGTCAATCAGAGGTCTAAAACCTGATGAAGGGACGTGAGATGTTCAGTAAGCACTCTCTGGAATTAGTCTGAACTTGTGCAATCACAGTGAGGACTAAAATGCAACAGGGAATGGGTTACATTTGTAAGCTACACCTTAAAAATGAAATTCTGAACTGTTTTCTACAGTGTTTTGGTCTTTTTGAATGAAAAAAAAAAATTAGAGCTGCTTGCAGTCAACAGTTTGGTGAGCAGCATTACAGCTGTATTTGAATACTGTATTATAAATCACAAGATTCAGTAGCAATCAGACAGTTCTTAAATGACTTTTGACAAAAAAAGAAATAACAGTGGAATGGAGATAATGAATATGATGAAGAAACAACATTCATGTAGCAACATATAGTCATATACATGTATGAAAACAATTTTTTAGAGTAAAGTTTTTATAACTTAAAGAAAAGCTTGACGAGTAAATATTCAAACAGATACTTGTATCCATGTTTTGAAAATTTTCACAAGATTTGAAGAATAAGCATTAACTTCAAATGTGCAGCAATATCACTTGCCTGATTTTACTACATTTACTTAATTTTGTATTTGTCTTCTGAATTAGATGTACATCACTGTTAAGATAAAAAGAGGAAAGTAATGTTGTTCTCACAGCAAATTGTTCTCTAAGTCAGTAAGTTACATACATCAAGTAAATCTGAGGAATACTAATTTCCTGCTACAGAATTATGGCAGAAAGAAAGAGATACACTCCAGTTACAATTTTAAAACTTATTTTCTAAATTTTACTATTGCTGTCATGCACTGACCTGTTATTTAATATGCATCTACATTTTTCAATGAAAAGTGCATTTTGTCAATTTGTTTCTCAAGATATATGAATGATGGTCGATGGAGGGAAGGTACAATAAGCAAATGAAAGAATAATTTGTGTCCTATATGGTGATGATGTTGTTTTCAACTAAAAAGTTGTTTGTTTTCCTTTGTTCAATTTTTATTTCAACAGTTGGTTTTTGACTTTTAAGTGTACAAAGGGAGACCTGAAAGTCTTATTTCTTTCCATAATAAATAAATATTTATTATAAAATGTCTTCAATCTTTTGTATTATTGATGTCCAGAACACAAATTAGTACACTGTAACTATTTGTGAACCTCATGAATATTGATTTGTAGTCTTTAAAATTATATGAATTCTTGCATATATGTAAAATTTTTCAGTATTCCTTCAAGGTTTGAGATCCATCTTGGTTTGGTATTAATCATGGTTCATCCTTTTGAAAGAACTTACATTTTAAAAAAAATCATGGGTAGCATTGATCATTCAAGATAGCAAGATGTAGGATTGAAACTGATTAGAGTTCTTCCCCTTTGGATTGCTGTTGGGGTGATCACGGGACACATTATCAGTAATGATAAAATATTTGGGACATTTGCTTAAAGGAACAATATTATTATAATACAGAAGTCATGTACATGCTTTGGAAAATTACCTTAGATATGCTGTGCAGATATTTTTTGTGCAAAAGGAATTACTTGGCCTTTAACTCTGATAGTTAAGCAACTATGGCACTGAGATAATTTTTTCAAATTTATGGGTTATACTTGCATATATCTTCATATTTTTTTTTAAATTTTGCTCACCTGAGCCTTTGGCATAGAATTGTAGGTGAGAGTATTAACCTTTTGATGAATTTTATATGTACTGCACATGCACATATGCAAGCACCTGCACCAAAGTCACATTCATAATAAACCAACATGTCTATATATCATAATAATGATGAGTGATTTCTATGAACAATTGCACACAAAGAAGTACTTGAATGGAGAGAGAATAACATGCATGGTAAAATCTTTGTTCCCAAAATCTTCAGAGAAAAATATTAGCCCAGGAGTAGCAGTTGGATTCCAGCTCTGAAAAAAAAGATTGATCAAGCTGATATTTCAAATCAGCTTTATAATGAGGATTCATTCAAGATATGTTAGAAGGATGTGTTGGTCAGGGTTGTCCCTAAGAGTTGAAAAAAGCAAGGACGTCAAAAAAGTAAAGCGTGTTTGGGGTTCCTTCCCTAACAGCTAGCTGGGAATTGAGGGGGGGAAAACCAGAGCGTTATGTCATTATACATGTTATACTGGTGGGGAAATTCCCCGACCCAGGAATCTTATTGAAAACCCTGGTAGGTAATTGGTAAATGCTAACTTGATGGTTTTGTAGGTAATTTGTTTTATTAAAAATTAACATGTTGGTTATACATGCATGTGAACACTGTGTTCTTAATTTGACCACTTGCTTTATTCAACAGAAGTCCTCTGCAAGGTCACTATAAATCTGTTTATCCTTCAGACGGAATCTATCATCTGCGACACCTGATGGGGTTAACCAGGGACCATAGACTCGGACATATCGGTCAACACTGACCATAACTGACCACAGTATTAGACCATTCACCTGTCCACACACTGGGAATTGTTTTATAGTGGGAATTGACTTGATGTATTTATTTGACACCTCGGTGCTTATCTATTTCTCATTATAATTGGGAAGTCCCTAATGATTTCTCTCTCCTAATGAGGATTTTTTCACCAATAGTGTGTGTTTTATTTTCATAGATGATTCTCATTAGAGTTTAATTGACACTTAACCTAATGGAGTTTTTTTTTTCTTTATATTTAGAAAATAAACAGAGTATTGATAAGTGAATAAAATTCATGGCTCTTGTGGGGAAGAGTGCCAAGAGTTTCTAATTAATTGACATATCTATTTATTGACGAATAATGGAAAGTTGATTAGGATTAATTCAAATAGATTGATCTTTCAGGCATTGATGCGTAGATTTGGCATCATCAACATCATCTTTGTAAACAGATTTGCTGACTTGGAGCAAACTCTGCTTCGCAGCATCAGGTAATAAGCATGGTTTTATTTATTATAAACTTGACATTTTTTAACATTCTGAACTTTCATTTTCATAAAGGTAAATAATTGTTTTTTTCATTTTTTTCCTTCATTTTTTTTAACATATGAGGGTTGTTCGAAAAGTTCGTAGACAATGTCAGTCTAATTTATATTACTCACTAGAAATTTAAAATAAGTACAATCTAATATGTTAAAATATTTGTTTTGTTGATGTGTGAAGTTTCATTCCATTCGATTTAACAGAAATCAATTTACTTCAGTTTAAAATCAACATGTTTTGTACCTGCGGAGCACACTTAACGGCAATGTAACGTCAAAACATTGCATCAAGAATTTCTAAAAAATACTATCCCTATACATATCACAGAGTATAATCCAATGTCCATTTATTAAATCCTATTTCTAATATTTGAAATTTATTTTTTATGAATTGCTCGTGTCGTATAATTTCCTTTGTTAAGGTTTTGATTGCTTTTATTACTTAACTCTGCTTTCACAGGGTAAGCAACTCTGAAGTGCCTATGTCTTTTCTTGACGTTCCAACTTTTCAAAGTTTTTGTTCAGATTTTTAAAGTTAAACCGTTTCTTCACAGATTTTTCTCATTCGATACTGAGTCTCTGTCACTGAAATACTGCCTGTAGTATTTGTACACACATGCACAGCTCACTTGTGACATATTTCTCGATTCCTCCAACTTTATTAGTGTTTATTGAGGATTTTTCTGAAGAAAAACACAAAATTGCATCGTTATCTGCTGATCTGTGACATTCTAAAACGTCATCATTTTTGTCGTTTTCAATAAGGACTACTTATCTTCCCAAGTCAATTGCTTTTCAACAAAGGAAAACATAAAGCCATAATTTTTTACACGAATCGATGTAACAATTCTTAATTTGAATTTCTAGGTTGTTTTTCGTTTTTGCTCCATTTTACAGAGAATATGACTTCAGACATTATTAAGTGTTTTGTTTGTAACTTACTAAATTTTGACCTGCTCCGCTATCCGATTTTTGCATTTTTAAAATCTAGATAAGTTTTAAATAAATCGTAATATTTTGAAAAAAAAATAATACAAATTATTTGGATTTATTGTTAAAATATTTCTACCAAATTTGGATAACATATGACGTCCAATAAAAAAGATATGACAGTTGTCCACGAACTTTTCGAACAACCCTCGTACTTAGTATATCTGACTTTTATTGTTGACCCTTTTCTTTAACAATTGTGTTTTATACAAAAACATTAGAATAATTCTTCCTTCATATTTGAAGTTTAAATTAATTGTAACCTAGCATGGAGAATTATACATAACACTACTCCCCCTATGGCTTGACAATTAATAATGATAATGTGTATCGCTAGCGAGAAGTAATGAAAATGAATAATGAATGTGACAAGATTATGTTAATGCTCAGAGAGTCCTTGCCTGTATACCCTGACTCATTAATTCTTATATAAATTTTTGTATCGTTTTTTATGATGCCCCCTGGTTAAAACATAATATTTTTCAATTTTTAGAAAAGAAATATTTTTATTTAATATAACCCCTACAAGTTCACTGACTTAGCGGTAACACATCTTTTTATTCAGTAGTCTGCAGCATCAAAGTCTTATTGAAAGTGTATCCAACAAATACTGTATATAAAGAAAAAATATAAAATTTTTAATATGATGTGTTTTGAATCAAACATCACATATTTTCTTTATGATGAGGATCAAGTGCAAATAGAAGGTATCATTAATTGTAAATTTATTGATGGATATATCCTGTTAAGCTTGATAAGGATAAATTGAAGTGAATTTACAAATTTATACACAGAAAAAAAAGTTTTATATATATTTTTTGGAAGACACATAATTGCAACCTATATTAATGCTTCAATTATAAATAAAATTTGAGAAGTATTTATGTTTTTCCAGATCTAAGTTTTATTTCAGTTGACAGTATTTTCTATGGGAACAAATATTTAAGCAACTGCAACAAATTCTCTCTCGATCAACAAATAAGAGTATTTATTATAATTAGCTCTGACCCTCCAGCAGAAAAAGAAGTGATTACTATAAATGTATAAATATATAATATATATAATTTGTAGATGTGTCTTCTATTCATTGGCTTCAGCAGTAAGAGGCTATCCCTAGAACAAATGTCATGTATATATGTACATTAATATACAGTAAAGCTCGATTATAACGAAGTCACTGGGACCTGGAAAATTACTTCGCTGTATCCGTTATTCATTATATCCGTATAAGGAATTCATTAAATTTGTGTAGTTGGGGATCCATGATAACTTCGCTATATCCATGAATTCGCAATATCTGTGTTTCTACTAAACGAGTTCTACTGTAACTCACATATTTTTGTGGCATCTAATTTTTTATGTTTGTGGGAAAAATAGAGGTTTGTTGGGATTTGATTTCATGTGTGGGAATTGAATGTTGAGTAGTAATGCATACAAAATTTTACATTTTGTAGTGGTCATAAATTCGTTGGTCTCTCCATACCTTGAAAACAACGAAAAATTGAACCCCCTCAAAAAGTAATGAGTTTGCTGTAATTATATATATCTAGACTTCTACCATATTCAAGCCTATAAGTGAGGGATTGAGACAGCAATCTAAGGGGCTGCTTATGCTAAGATGTTGAAAAATCAATTTCCTGCTGATTGAAAACTTAGGTACATGCTAAATATAATGCATTTGCAGTACATTTATATTGTGGAATGGTCATGTGATGTATAATTTCCAGATACATGTACAGAATGGGATATTTTATTCAGAGGAATTTCTATTTAGTTGAAAGCTCCTCTCACAGCATACAGACTGCCACTTTATCATGAATAGCCTGAGATTGATTTGATGATATGTTCACACATTAAACACACTGTTAGAAAGTTTGTTAGGTATCTGGTCCCATTTGAAAATTACTTTATATACAGGTAGAGGGAAGATTAATGTACCTTTAATATATGTCTGTCCCAAACTTAATTGGCATCTTATATTCAAACTGAACTCATCATTTAAAATATATATATATATTTTTGGATATAAATATAGAAAGGAATGCCAGGACTTTAATATATCCATTGTATTCCTTATATTTATGAAATTTAAATTCAATTGAATTTTTCAAGTTTAAAATTAAATCCTTTCTAAATATAGATAGAGATTCACAAAATTTCTCTCACACCTTGGTGTAGAATGATTAAGACCTGGGGAAAACGTACAGAATATATATTGGTAAAGGATTTTATTTGTAGATTTCAGGATTTACCTGCTCGTTTGACACCTGGGGGTGTGGTGTATTCTGTACCTTGGTAAATCGTCAGTTTCTACGTGGTTTGTAATCGTGAAGTACCCCAAGGCTTGCTTGACAGGTAATGTATACTGAGATAAACAGTAAGAACCTAATCAGAATTAATATTATCTGATGGTTAATGGATTTACCTCATAGTGTCACTAGTGATACCTCAGTGGAATATATATTTTGAATATTTATTTTTTTGGAAATAAGGTAAAAAAAATTAATTTTTAACTTAATGAATTGGGATAAAACTTTTAACTTATATATTTATTCTAAGTTTATTTTATTTCATTTTACTTAATTAATTGATTGCTTGTGTATTTTTTTTTTTTTATAATTCTTAAAAGTATTTTTCCTAATTTGTACATAGCTTGTATAATATGAATACTTGAACATGAAATTTTAAAAAAAGCATTAAAAATATTACATTGATATAATTATTAAAGGAATATGTTCTTAAAATTTTTATCTAAAACTCAAAAATAATGGGGAAAAAAGACATTTGATTAACAAGATTAATGATTCGAGACACTGAGGTAAAAATAATTATTTAAAAAATACTTATTGAAAACAAAGTTGGACTTCAAACTCATTTATCATGTTTAAAGATATATCCACAGTATTCAAGATATTGATGTTCAAGAAATCTAAATCTCAATGTATATGTATTTTATCTTATTTTTCCAGGAGAACATTATTAAACAGACCAGAAGAGCAGTAATTTATATGAAATGTAGAAACACAGGTAACTGTAAGTATTTATTTCTCGAGATTTATTTCATTATTGTGAAAGATTGATTTATGAAGTACTATAAATTTCCCCAAAAAACAAATAGTGTATGTTTTAAATCCGAAACTGCATCATTTATAACCATAAAAAGGCAATCTGAAGGGATTTCCATGTAGTCTATAAGGAGACGTGAACAACTAAACCGCTGATATTAGCTGGGGCATTCAATCACAGTGCAGTTAGCTACTCTATGTAACAATTCAAGTTGTTACGTTTAATATATGATTTATGAGGAATGTCTAATTATCCACTAGCCTTTTACTTAAGCTAGTTAAGAGGTGTATTATGATACAGATTTTTGAGTGATCAGGTGTTTGGATAATTTAAGAAATATACATCGTTTAATAATTATAAGGTGAATTACTGATGTCAATGAAAATTGCGTTTCAATCTCAAATTTATATTGACCGATTTAGAGCATTCAAGTAATACTGATTATTAATGATGATATTAGATTTCGGTTTGGTAACTTATTCTGGTAAACATGGTAAATGGGTATTACACAATTATACCTGTTTAATAATTTAATACATCTCTATAAATTTTTGTTGCATCTAAGAAATTTATTTAAATGGAAAAAGTTCCATAAAAGTTTTCCATAATACAGTCTGATTTAAAAGGATACTTGTAGCAGTAGGTATTTAACTTGACCACCACAGTATCACAGTGGACATCAGCTGTTTATGTGTAAACAAATGGAATAAAGTTTAACTGCAGGGGGTGACACTTGACAAGGGCTTGTTGTGACATTTACGGTCATTTGAGGGACTAGAAGTGTAAAGTTTAGAGCCCCACCCAGTCTTTATTTTGTGTCAGATCAGAGAGATTCATGGACAGAAAAATTCGTCACTAGATACATTACATCGTAAAGGAACAAAAGCTGTGGATTTATGTATGATTCAGCAGTGACTGTATCAGTTAAAGTTATCCATAACAACACAAAGATAATCAAAAAAAGTTATATAAATTATTACGTGTATTTAAGTCACATGCATTTAACTGGGTGCCAACAGCAAACTTTCTCTTTATATTCAGATGTCCTTTGATATGTGCCTGACCTTCATACATCTAAGATAGCAAGATGACATTATTTTAAGGTAGCCTTTGGTTAAGAGCATTTCTTTGTATAAGATTTATCTTCATCACACAGGATATGCTGATAATTTTTTCTACATTAAAGCTTTTTAGAAAGATAATTCACATCCAGGGAGTTATGAATAGATAAAAGTATCCCCTAATGCCAACTAAGCATCCTTTTTGCTGTGGATAGCAATTAATGGTTTCATGCACAACAGCCTTTGCTGCTAGAAGATTACAGATTGGGTATAATTTCCTGAGTATCCTTTTTGGCATACAATTAATGGTTTAGTATTGTTTTGGGAGGAAACCCCTCATCAAGTTGAAATAATGTAAATTTTAAATAGGTAATTAGCAGAAAGTTCATGCTAATTAGGTGTACCTTAATATTCTTAATCATGGTAAAGAATATGATACAAGTGCAAACCATATAGCTTGTTCTCCATCCATTGTAGTTTTCATGAATATATATATACCTTAACAAATAAGGAAAATATTCAGGAATTTGGGTACCTGATATATCTATTAATTTATGACATGATATCTATATAAATATATATATACTTATTTATAGCATGATGGTTAATAGGACACAAACTTTTTTGGCATGTTTAACACTTGAAGAAATATCTAGGTGTTATGATAACTTGGTCAACCATAAGCATTGAGAACTGCCATTGTACACATGATCTGGGTGTATTTTATTAAGTGTAATTGTCCAGTGATGTCCAGGAGGCAGTTAGCGACCCTTTATGTAACCTTTTGACAGAAGGAGATTTCTAGCTGATTTGTCATCAATTTTCTGCATTAATACCAGTCCTATTTAGAACAGTATCAAGTATATCTCATAAATGGTAATGAACATGACTTGGATTAGCATTTTTACTGTTATGGTTTTTATGGCAGACATGTTTTTTAATTTAAAAAAAAAATCAATGAAGCAGCACCTTATACAGACCAATAGCAAAAAAGAATCTCTCACAACACAGCTACACTTCAAATATCTTTGGATTGAGTGGTATTTTAAAAAATCAAAATTTTACAATTATTTTATAGTAATAATTTCTGGAGTTCATTTAAAAAAAGGATGATCTTTATACTGATAAACAGGAGCCCAGCTCTCAATCTGTTAAAATAGTTTGATGAGTATCTCAGTAATGGAAATGTATGTTGCAGGTGTTCAATAAGGATCTGTGTATTGAGGTTTTATTTTGTACAGTCAGGGACTCAACATTTGAATTTCAAAAATTTTGATTAATTTTTACAAAGAATGCCATTCCTTTGTTCTCTTATTCAATTGTAAGTTTGATTGTCTAACTGAATCAAAGAGTTTATTTCTTCCTTTATTATCACATTCTTCCTTGATATCTATTCTCTTTAGGAAGTATTATTCAGTGAATTGTGATTCTAGGAGACATTTTTGGGGGTCATTTTTCTTGGGCCCCATTCTTGGTAACTGTTATATTTAAGGTATGGAGAGACAAGAGCCCATTGTAGCCCTCCCTGCATATCTTCTCAAAGAATCTGCGAGACCGCTGCGAACTAACGTTTTTATCATGAGGATGTTTGTCAAGCAAATGCCTGAAACAGATCTTGGTTGTTGCTAGGAATCTAAGAAAACACAAATTGACAAACGTTATCACCACTTTGAAAATCCTCTTATTTGGTTTTATTGAGAACTGATCAATTGGCAACATTCAAGGTATTGTTGTAGACATTGCCGAGTTCAATGGAGCTAAATCTCCCCCAAAATTCTCTCTGATTACTAGTATTACTCAGCTGTCCTGCCAATCTAGGAAAATAAAGTAATAATAAAAAATGGAGTGGGCTTTGTCACTAAGATTGATGAGAACAAGTTGTTGGAAGTTTCAAAGTCATACCCTGTCCAATTTCACTCAAATGATAAACAGTTTTCTTTTCTTGTATAAAAAATGTTGAGAGCATCAATAAGTATCAGACCACACATTTGTGTATCACAGGGAAATTGAAAGGTACTACTTGATCATCAATTTACCTTGAAGTTTGTGCTAATCTATTTGTAAATACAAAACATTCTGAAGACATAGTGAAGTGAATCTCTTGTTCATGGATCATCAGATCTTTAGATGATGTTAATGAAGAAGGTGAAGGTAACAAACAACAATCAATCTCAGAAAAACTATAAACAATCCAATTCTGTGAACAGGACATAAACACAGACCACAGGGAATTCCAGGGGTGGGATCAGGTGCCTAGAGGGAGTGAGCATCCCCTGTTGTCCAATCAGACCTGCTGCAAGCCCTATGTATTAAAAGTTTATGGTCTTTTCATTTCATTACCTGCAGGTTACAGTTAATTTTTAAGGTACAGGTGCAGATTCACCTTGTTGTTAGCACTGGACTCGACTTAACCTGTACTTTTGGTCCATAAGGGTATGCAAAGGTAACAAATTTTGTGTTCACACAGACAGATTTATAGTTTATATTTTGCCAAGGGAGACTTTTTATTATCTTTAAATATCTATTTGTGATGAAAAGCTCAGGTGAAGAGGGTAGTAAAAGAGGTCTTAAGGTGACTTTTCTGGCCAATATACAGGCATTAAGGCACCTTCAGTTTAATTCATTCTCAGAGGGGTACTCTTGTTTCCTTAGTACAATAACCTTGTCCCCAGCAAAAGGACATGACTCTCAATAAACAGTGTCTCTCTCTAGAATTGTTAAGTAGTTTGTGAAGTTTTGATTGCTGAACCATATATAATACTTATGCAGGGAGAAGGGTGAATGAAGTCATTACTTTTCTACCCTATGAAATTTTACAACCATTCATAAATATAAAATTCTTCTCCTCCCAGTTTTGAAAATGGGCCAAAAACATTTTTCAAGTAAATTGTGCTGACGTACATTAGGTGTGTTGGATGAAGTAAAAGCCACCCATGTAATGATACAAAATGGATAGGAATAGAAGATTGATATTGAATTAAAGATGTATATCTTAATTGATGTTTTCTGTCAAAGAACTTATCCTTAAAGTATACCCTACAATGAAAATCAATAAGTGTCTTTTAATATGAGTAAAAATTGGTATATAAATACATGTATCCCTTTGTGCAAAGGGATATTTCAGGAGTCAACCAACAAAGGGTTTTCTATGGTGTACCTATACTCCAGGGTAAAAGGGATTTTTCAGTACATTATCGAGTAAAATTGCTGCACTGTACAAATTTTCTTACAAGATTCCTCTAAGTCTGTTAGATGAATGTAGGACAAAAAAAATTTACTTCACCGGGCCATGGAACTGTGTCCCATAGAAAAGATGAATCAGTATGTTGATTTAAGATATACTTATGTACAAGTGTAAACAAGGGATAAATTAATTGATTTATTTAATTCATTTAGACACTGTTCACAAATATTTTGATTTCTCCAATCACAGATGCCCTTTAAATAAGGAGTGGTACACGTTTAGTTTTTGAAGGGCCCCCTCCATCATTTATAGGTCTGTCTATAAAATAGCCTTCCCAACTACCAGCCTATGTGATAAACGTTTCAATTCATTATGACAATCGATTGATTTTATCAAGCATATATTTACCTATTGAAGATAACACGAGTCTTTGAATAGAATTTAGGAAACTGTCTAATTGAACATTTAAGACAAGAACTGGCCACTCAGTGATAAAGTGTCTCTTCTGCAATATTGAATGTGTACAGGGATTAAGGTAGATTTACCTCTGTTAAGGTAGCTTTGCCAATGTTGAGGAGGGAAAGAAATTGGAGGACCCAGAAGTCCCCCTAAAGTAAAGACTTAAGGAAAGATCCTTTGATCATTAACTGCACACTTTTTAACCATTTTGAGCAGATGATAAGAGTGCAAAGATCTTTAATGTAACTCTCTAGG